AAAGGAAGCATATGCTGCCATATTTTGAATGATTCGTCTTATAAGTACATGAACTCGAAAAAAAAAGAAAAATTTTCTTTTAGTGATTCAATATACTTCATCATTGTTCTTAGCAGTCCACAAATATTAGCTCATCATTTCTACGAAAAACTTCGTAGTTTTCAAATTCCTTATTGTCTCAAAAAACAATCGTCTTTTTCCCCCAAATTTACCATTTTAATTAGAAGAAAAAAAAATTTTTGTTTTAGGAAATAATACTTATGTTAAACGAACCTTCATATTGTCATCGGAACTATAAAGATATTTATCAATTAAACTAAGACCACCATCAACGTCCCAAAGAACAATAAGACCAAGTGAAGCTGTTGCACTTAATAAACCATTGTCTTTATATTTTGTTAACCATTTTGTATCTTGTGTTACAATTTTATCTTGGCCAAAACCAGCATTAACAAATCCATTAACAAAGGCTGATGCTAAATTTTGTTTGCTTGAATCAGGTTGATTATAATTCGATCGATTTGTATTATCTAAGTATGTTTTATAAATATCTTCGGGTAACTTAGCTTCCATTATATCAAGTTCACGAGCTAATGCCAAAAAATTGGATGTTAAATGTGAATTAGACATCAAATTTGTTAATTCATCTGGATCTTCACCATTGGCTTCTGTGACATTCCAAATAATTTGTTGTCGTCCTAACATAAATGAAAGTTGTTTCTTGACTAAACTAAAATAGAAAGGCAATATATTAAATAAACAGTTCGAAACACTGGTAAATGCCACACAGCACATCGCTCCTAAATTTTAAGATATTGAGCTGATATGCTTAGAATAATTAACCTTGAACGGCAAACAAGCACTTGAAATTATGTTTTAGATATCAATATTTTCGTTCAACTTCTCATTGGAGTAGATAAATATGGTTATTATTTGATGCATGACTTTTTTTAACAGTAGTTTTCATATAATCAAGATATTAGTTGATCATCAAGAGTGCCTGTTCAACAGCAAATAACCATGATTTTTTCAATACAGCGAATCTTTTTGCAATGAGTTTTCTATTTTTATATGAAAAGCTTTCATTAGCAGAAAAATACCATTGTACTCAGTCATCTTTTAGAATCGTAACACTGAATGAAATAGAATTAGCGTTACGTCGCTATTATCATATTTCATAATATTCCTATGTCTAAGGTGTAGATTAGGTGTTGTGAACTTTTATCATTATGAAGCAGACATATGGAGCCACTCTTAGCATTAAAAAAAATAGTCGCAGCTGAGAGAGTGACTAAATTCTGAAATAAGTTTCCTGGTGCACACTTTCGTTGGACAATTTTTTCTTGCAAAAAAATGTATGAACCATAATTTAAGTAAATTTGAATGGATGAAAGAGAATAAATATTTTCAATCAGTGTTTATTACCGTAGTCATATACTCAGGAGAAAAAATAGTTCGATACCATAGAACGAGAGAAACTCGCGAAAATAATTGAACAATTCTAATTACCTTGATGGGCATGTATTAACTAGATCTTTTATAAGATCCATATCATTTAATTGTACAGCACAACGTAATGCTAATGGATATTGATCATAATGTCGGTAAAGTTTACATGCTGTACGTAATAGTTTTGTATCATCTGGTTCAGGTACGTAAGGTACACAACTAAAAATACAATTATTATTAGTTTTTTAAATATATGATAAATAATGCATTTGTTTTACCTAGTTAAATAAAGACAAACACGTGAAAAAGTGTCTTTATCAACAAATGTTTCAATTAAATCTAATTGTTCTATTTCCATTAAAAGATCACATGCATCAGCTTCAGCATTATGACGCATTAAAAATGGTACTATTTCATTTGTTAATGAAAGGAGACGTTGGCGAAGTTCAGGATTGATTCCTGTTGATTCCCATTCAGAAGCAATGTCTGCTGATAAATGTCTAGACAAAAAAAAAAGAATAGGTTTATTTTGATATTGATTTTAGCCTATTCTATTAAACAATGGAATCTTGTATAATGTGAAAAAAAATCAATGATCATGCCAAATGTAAATGTAATTTTTCAATACCACAGAGAACGATACATATATTCCTTGGGCGACATTTGAAACGAAAGTAGCAAATAATGGATGGGGTCGCCACTGGCGAATTTACTCGCCTTTTAAAACAATGAAAAAGCCCTTGTAATTATACTAACTTTTTTCAATTAAACTACAGCACAACATATTCCATTAGCCTTTACATCTGATAGAAAGTCAAATGCTGCATTTTTTTTGCGTGTCTATATAGGGCTGTTCGAACTGAAATACTACTTGGGAAAATCTTTGTTTCAAAAATCATCAGGACTGTATTTACAAATCTCCGGCAAGAGATAACTTGAATATAGATCGGCCCGATCAAAGGCGAAATTTATCTATCTTTTCAAATATGAATATTTGGTATGAATAGAAAATTTGAATTTGCATTTGATTTGATTTATTATGTCCGATCTATTAAGTTTTCGTGGAATAACCCAAAATGCGATCAGTGCGATATTCAAATAATTAAAGTGTAATAATTACTTACAATAAAAAAAAATTTCTATCGATAAAACTCAGTTGAACATCAAGTAAACTCAAATTAAATTTATTCGTCTAGTTTAATTCTTCTTGAATATTTTATTTGGGTTACTCATTTGTGTATATGTTACCGCTGCAACCTTTTTTTTTGTCTTCATGATTCATTATGATAGTTTTAGCCTATATTAAGGTCTATTGCAGAAATTAGTTTTATTTAGACTTTGATGTGTGTGCTGGATCGTTTTCTTTTAACCATTTTTTATTATTCTTCAAAGAACATTGTGAAACTTTTTTCCGTTGGCCTTGAAGCCACCGTCAACATTAAAAATTTTTCAAAAGGATTCGAAGAATGACGAAAACTCTTCAATTTATATTTTACTCTAAATATTCAAATATATTTACAAAAAAATTCACTTTTTAAATATTTTCTGCTCTAAATGAGTTTCTGATTTATAAATTATATGTTATGGATTCAATAAAATCATGCAATTAGTTGAATAGAATTGCTCACCTAATGTATTCATGGCCCCACGTGCCGATATCTTGATTTGAACCTAATAAACGATATTTGAGTACTTCTTTGGTGTCAATTGCTGTCATAGCAAGGACTGAAACAATATCAGCACATAGAGCCTAAAGAAAAAAAACATAATTTATATGTAGACATAAGCCTATTGAAAAGTAACAATAAAATAAATACTTTATTATGAACATCAAGAATTTTTTCATAAATTGCAATCATATCATTATAAAATGGTCTCATAAATTTCAAAGGTTTTGGTACACTTGTCATTGAACTAGTTGACTCACGAATTTTTTGTCGAAGCGTTTCAAGTGCGGCTCGATATAAATTCGTATCATTCTCCTGTAAAAAGAGAAAAAAAAACTTTATATTAAAGCGTTATTGTTATATTTGCGAACTTACTTTTAAACGCTCAACACATAATTCAAGTTCTTCTTTTAATTGTTTATCTTCTTCCGACTAAATAAATAATATCAAAGTCTAATCTCAAATAATCCTATGCGACATACTAAATCTTCTTCTTTAACTTCAATTGGTTTTTTTGCATCATCCTTATTTCCTTCTTGTTGTTTATTTTGTTCAACTGAATCTGAACTGGTCATGATTTTTATTTTCTATCTAGAAAACAAAAACATAAATCAGATATTTTTATTTTTATGCTGTTTTCTTTATTTTTTCCAAAACATTTCTTCTTGTAAGCCTTTGTTGTTATTGTTTTTTTTTGTTTAGAATAACAAAACGATGATGATACAAGACACAAAAAGAAACAATTTTTTTTCATTTAAACATGCATATTCTATTTGGATTTTTTTTGTTTGATCTTCTTCATGTAAAAATCGAGTTCTTTGCCTTCAAGCACATATCCATCACATCGGCCGTTTTGACCCGGTCGAGATGCAATACAGGCGAGGACACGTCCAGCTTGAAATTGCTCTTCAAGTCCTTGTTCGACTTTAGCGCGACGTTGTTTTACGGCTATTTTCTTTGCTGATTTAGCTGAACGTTTACGATTGAGTACAGCTTCTTCAGCTTCAGTTAATTTAACACCTTTCTTACGGCCAAGTGGTACTGCATAATAGGATTCATACCATTGACGGAATGGCACAGCATCGATTTGTACGATGGTTGATTTTGTTAATGTTTTTGTACGCACTAACTCCTAATAAGAAAGAAAAACAATTAGAATTTTTAAAAAATCAAGTAATTGAAAAAATACAAACATTGTTCGATGGATGGTACATAACATCGATGACACGAGTTTTTTTTGCAATACCTTCTGAACCCCATGAAAAATTACCAATATCAAGACGAAGTGCACGATATTTTTTATTGCCACCTCTTGTTCGTACAGTATGAATACGCTTTGTACCCAATTTGGTAAGAGCCGCTGGCCGACCTAATTCGAATTTTCGTTTCTTGTGTGGTTGTGGTCGTTTGCCACCAGTCTTTCGTCGTTTATGCCAATGGTCACGGCTGATACCCATGTTTTTTTTTTGTAAAAGGTACTATAAAACTGATCTTAAAAGAAACGAAGAAATTCTATAAAAATTCTAAGAGCAAAACACAACAATATAATGTTTGTCGTTGTATGTGATTTAGACTCCATGTTTATCGTTAGTTTACCAATCCGACGCATCTCGTTGAATGCAATTAAGGAGGACAGTTGAATGGAAAGGGTCCGTTCTTCTTTTCTATTAATATTATTTAATTTGAAAATAAAAAATTATTTTGTAACTATAGAAAGTAATTAGTGAAAAATCAACATATTCGAATCAATTTATTTTTAACACGACATCTAACGATATGAAGGTGACTTTTTTTTCTGGCTAGGACTAACCAATAGAATAATTTTTGATGAATACACATATATTGATGGATAAACGAAATTCGCCTTTTTGTTTTTTTAAATAAATGTCGTTCGGAAAATCTCGCACCGTAACACTTTGCTCGCTTGCAAATTTCATAAATGCTGCAGATCGAGCGATTATGCCAAGTAAAGTCGCGTATTTCTGCAGAAGATTTTCAATGAATAAAAATTCTACTTATTTTAGTTGCAATTATTCCTATGGCAAAAGAATTAAATTGGAATTTACCTTTGCAAGGTTATATTTTATCATCGTTTCCAATCGGTTATTTAACTAGCCAATTATTTGCTCATATATTTGTACGACGTTTTGGCACAAAGGCCGTTCTTGCTTTAGCAGTTTTCACATGGTCATTAGTAACATTTGCGACACCGTTTTTGGCACCGTTACCTTTTTTACTTATTTTTTCAAGAATTGCTCTAGGATTTGGTGAAGGTTTAGGTAAATGCAGAAACATAAAATAGAATAACAACTAAATTTTTATTTTATTTAAAGCTTTACCAACGATATTTCATGTCTTCAGTAACTATGTACCGATGGAAGAACGATCTAGGTCGTTTAGTTATCTTATAGCATTAGGCTCAGTGGGACAAACTTTTGCAGCATTGGTATGACAAAGACAATGTTGATTTTTGTGTCACACTTAATTTGATTTTTTTTGTCTTAGATATGTCCTCATATAGCATGGCGTACTGTTTTCTTTTTCTTTGGTTTTATTGGTTTTTTGTGGACATTTTTATGGATTGTAAGTTATCGCGATTTGAATCTTAATATTGGAAATGTTGGCGCTGATGAAGCCTTTCTTCATCCATCATCAAAAGTAATTATCAATTCACAATAGATATTCATCATATATAATATATCTTGTTTTTCTTAGTTAGGAAATAAAAGTTATAGATGGATTGAATTTATCTCACATTGGCCACTATGGGCAATTTATATTGCACATTTTTCAATGAATTGGTCATCTTATATTGTTATGGTATGGTTACCATCGTATTTAACCAAAACATTCGATGCAGATCCGACGAATTTATCGTTTACAGCATTTCCATATGTCATGAATTGTTTATTAGGTGTCGGTAAGTTAAATCAGAAAATATATCTTAGGATGAAGTCATTATTTCAATAAAAAATTAATTCGATTTTTTTCTTTAACTTAAAACAGACAGACAGAAACAATGATAGGTTTGCTATTGGTGTTTCTTCGATAAGGTGATTTTGTCATTCGCTCGATTGACAATGATAGGAAACATTGCAGAGTGAACTGCTAACCTGTCTGAAGCAGTTCATAGATTTTTCGCGAAAGAATATTGTAGAGTGAGTAATGAAAAAGTCTGTTTATCTAATATACTGTCACATCAGAACATTGTATCATGCGTTTGACAAGATATTATTAAATGAACAAAGATGACGTAGTCTAAAATAGTTTTTTTCTATTGAGAAAATATTTGAAGATAAAAACATTCGTTGTATCTCCATGTTTTTGTGTATGTCTTCATTTTGAATATGATTAATATTATTTTTAAAAAGATAGTGACGAAAGACTGATACTTCATATTTTTCATATTACATGAATCTTCATGTCATAATCAAAAGATATAGATTAATATGTGCTTTTAGGGTGACCTAGACCTATCTTAAATCTACTGAGATAGTTCATGAAAGTAAAATTTAATCATAATATATCATTATTATGATTAAATAAAAATACTTAGTCTGATAATAAATGCATTACTTAAAATACTAAATTTGGATGTGCTAGTATGCTCTCAGTCTAGACGCTTCAATGAGACATTCTCATTCGTATATATGTGTATGTGTATTAGTTTCAGCAGTGAACTCGCATTATATCGGAATATAATTTGTAAGTAAATAGTCTTGCTGTCTTATAAGTTTAGTTAGTTTATAGTGATATTTATTTGAACTTGTTTATCATTAAACAATAGCTTCCGATTGACTTCATACAAATAGTTTTTTGATCCAGACACAACAGTGATTGTAGTACTCAAACTTGCCCAAGGTTACATAAATTCGTTGACAAGTTTTACATGAGTAAACAATGATAGAAAAGTCGTTATTCGCTATGAAAATACATTTTTATTCGTAGTATTTGTTTACGTTACAGATACTCTTACTTATTATTGTTTCTATTTGTATTAGCTGCCGGCCACTTCGCTGATTCACTTATTCAAAATCGATGGACAGTTTTATCTGTTCGTCGATTAATGACTGCTATTGGCTTACTTGGACCTGCTCTATTCATGTTGCTATTTATTTCAGTTGATAATCTTCTACTTGCTGTTGTGTAATGTCTATTTTAGCTTTATTTTTTTTATCTAAAATCTAAGATTTTAATGTTATATTTTAGTTTTATATCAATAAGCATGGGTTTAAGTGCATGCAATTCCGCTGGTCATCTATCAAATCATGCCGATATTGCACCTAATCATGCTGGTATAACATTCGCTATATCGAATACTCTTGCAACAATACCTGGAATATTAGCCGGTCCTGTTACCGCTGAATTAGTTGTTGCCAGTCATGGTCGCTGGTTTCCAGTATTTATTTTAGCAAGTGGTGTCAATTTTGTTGGTGCCATTATTTATCAAAGTCAAAGCGCTTCAACACAAATTTTGTGATTAATTACAATATACTCTTAATTGTATAGACAACAATATTTTTAAAACAAAAACAAATATGACAGATCTGTTTATTTCATTAATGTAGTTTGGAATTTCGATTTCGATGAAACCACAGATGTTTTGTTTTTAGCACGAGATAGAATGTTCATAAAGAAAAGCTTAACAAATATAATCTGTATTTTTCTTTCATTTGAATTTTTAGATGGCTAAAAGTAAACGAAGTAAACATATGCGTGCAATGCGTAAACTTCTTCGAGACAAACTATCGAAGAAGGATGAAGCAAAACGATTGGCATCAATGAAGAAGGATACATTCATACGTAAAGAAATCTTTTTTTTTTCTGTTGTAAAATAATTATGTTTCAATTTTTTTCTTCTTATTAGCGGCAAAGAATGACTCATTAGATGATGATAGTAAGTTTTAAGAAAAAAATATATACAAAGAATTAAAAATATGATTTTATCTAGAAGAGATGCAAATTAGTACAAATACAACAACGGAATACAATGTTCGTACATTAAAAAATAAAGATGGTCAATTTCCATCATGGTTAAGTGGTCGTCAACGAAAACGTTTACAAGCTAAACAAGCCGTAGTAAAACGAATTGCAAAAAACAAAAAATCGAAAACACCAGGAAAAAAACAAAAAAAGAAAATTACTTTAAATACATCAGACGCTATGTTAACATAATTAGCTTTTTGTTTTCTTATGAATAAAATACAAGAAAGGATATAATTCATACTCTTTGTTTTTAGATATGCTCTATTTTATTGGACTCGGTTTAGCTGATGTAGATGATATAACTGTTAAAGGTTTACGTATCATTAAAAATTGTAAAGAAGTTTATTTGGAAACCTATACAACTATTTTACAAGTCGATCAAAAGACATTAGAAGAATATTTAGGAATTTCGATAATAGCAGCTGATAGAGAACTTGTTGAACTTTCGGCAGGTGAGAAAACAACATGTCTAAAATAAACATGAATCATTAAATCTTTGTGTTTTTTTTTGTTTTGGGCATGTAAAGATAAAATATTAGCTAATGCTCGAGATTACGATATTGCATTTCTTGTCGGTGGTGATCCACTTTCAGCAACAACTCATACTGATTTAATTTTACGTGCTGTTGAACTTAATATTCCATATAAAGTAATTCATAATGCTTCAATAATGAATGCTATTGGTAGTTCTGGATTGCAGGTAGAAGATTATTTTGTTAGATAAATAAAAAGTATACATATAATGTGTATTTTTATGCGAAGTTATATCATTTTGGTGAAACAGTTTCCATTGTATTTTGGACAGATACATGGCGACCAACAAGTTTTTGTGAAAAAATTGTTGCTAATCGACGACGTGGTCTGCATACACTTTGTTTATTAGGTTAGATTCTTACATTTTTGTTTTTCAATCGATAGATTTTTATCAAATTGAAAATTTTAGATATCAAAATAAAAGAACAAGATGAAACTAGTTATATGAAGTTTGTTGTTGACTTTTGGTTGTTGTATTGAAATTTTAATTAAAAGTTTTTAAAGGAAAACTAAAACATATTTACCACCTCGTTTTATGACAACATCACAAGCAGCTTCACAAATTCTTGAATCAGCTAAAGAGTTACAAGTTGAAGACAGTAAGTTTTTTTTAATTTTTTTGACATTCAAATAGTTACTTGCGATGAATGAAGACAAATATTCATTTAACAAATAATCATGACGTTAGAGGTCAACCTTTGAAACAATCTAAGCATCACTGAATAAAATGCGATATATCATACTATTTGCAGATGACTTCTCGTATGAATTTTAATCCGAGAACAATCAAATTATAGTCTATGCTACTGATGATTGCGTACCACCACTCCTACTGTCCGTAGAGAAAATTACTATCGTTTTTTTTTTTTTATCAAAGTAAGATAGTACGAGCAGCTATGATATAATCTTTGAAAATAGAATCTTCTAATAAGATACGATTTTTTTAGAAGACACATAAAATCATTTTTGTTTTGGTAAAGTCTGATTAATATTTATGTAAATTACTTTCTATTCTAGTCATCAACGATAAAACACTATGTGTAGGTGCAGCACGTATTGGTTGGTCAGATGAAAAATTTATAACAACAACTTTACGTAGAATGGCTGATGAAGTTGATTTAGGTCGTCCGTTACATTCACTTGTTATTGCTGGTCAATTGCATCCACTCGAAATTGATTATCTTAAAATTCATGCTATTGAATCATCATTTGATCAATTAGCTCTAGAGCACAACCAGAGTTTAAGTCATTAAAGAAATAATAAGTTCTTCTGTAAGCTGTTTTGTTTGTTTTTAATAGTTATTCATAAGAAGAAGTACAACATTTTGAAATTGTTGTTTTATTAAAGAAAAGGAAAAAGAAACCATTTTATTTCATGCGAAAATGAACATGTGGATGTAAAACAGAAATAGGTGAGGGTTGATGGTCGAGACTTATAGAATTGGATATTTCATCCATTGATATTTGTTGATGTATTGTTGGAAAATAAAGATCAAGATGATCGACTTTTTCTAGTAGATCTCGAATTCGTTCAATGGAATTTTCTGGTAAATTTCCATTTTTTTGTTGTTGAAATTCATTTTCAATTGTCTTCAATGTAGCTTTTATTTCTTCATTGCCTAATTCATATTGTCTAAAGAAGGTAAAAACAAAATTCAGTATAGGAAAAGTAATAATATCGATATTTAGATAACTTCTAGAATGTTTCCTTTTTTTGCTTTACTAGCCTTTATAATAGTATTTCATTTTACTTTAATTGACGCTAGAGTAATATTCGGAATCAACCTGTTCATCTCTTTTATTCTATGAAATTATTGTGAATGTCTCTTCGATTAACAGCAATTGTAGTAAGTATCTAGAAACATCACAACTAATGCATTACTTACGAGTTGAATCTGTGAATTAACTAAACTCAAATAAACTGTACATAGTCTGGTACGAACTTTTGTCGCCCGTCTATTACCGTGAATAATCTGTATTTTTTTGTTAGTGTCAATAATGAATCCTATGATCATTTTCAGTGCTACCTGAAAAATACACTTTCTAATTTCGATTTGTAACTTGACATAGATACAAGCTTTGTCAAAAATAGTTTTTCCTGAATATATCAGGTCTTGCTGCTGTTCCAATCTTAACACAGAAGTATGATAATCGCATCACACATTCATGAATAAAGCTGATACTTTTACTTTAGAATATTAGTGAACTGAATTGTACGTTTGTTTTTTTTTGTTAAACAGCACTAATTTCGTTGTAATCCCTATATCACAAAATCTACTCGAGAATGATCAAGTATTAGAAAATTGAGGAAGACTCTTTTCGTTTTTCAGTGTATAAATAAAGAAAATCTTCTGCAACTTTCTATACGATATTCTAACGCGGACGTCATTTTGAACTAACCGAATAATTTCATTCTGTAGCTTCTCTTGATGATTAATATGTAAACATTCTTTTTGAAATATTTCATTTTCTTCATCAATATCAAATAAAAGTAAATCATCATTTTGATGAATCTTTGTTGTGGATGGTGTATTTTGATGACTTAGTCCTTGTGTTAATATATCATAATTAACGGGTGTTGCTCTTTCAATACCTGATCCTAATGTACCATTACTAAAATGAAAATTTAGTATTGTATCAAGAAAGTCTTCGTCATGCTTATGAGAAGATTTCAAATAATCATTAAGATGTAATTGTGTTATTATTCCAATAGAAATAAAAATTAAGCCTATTAAAAAACAAATAATAATAGATAGAATACTAATAGAATATTGCGTAGAATTAAGATGATTCTTGCATATTATAGGCTGTTGAGTTAATGAATGAAGGCAACATTGATCTATTTTTGAACGATTAAAATCGAGCTTTTTTAGAAATGTTATTTGCTCGAGTTGAATACGCAAACGAGATGTACATGATGATGGTTCATAAGAACATGATGAATTTATATTCGGATTAAATGGGAAAAGTTTTGATTCATATGAAAGATTATTGTAATCATAGTGTACAAACACAACTAGTTAAAAATAAGTTTTTTTTCTGTTTTTCTTTGAAACAAAACCAATTTTACTTACTTGTACATATGTAAGGAATACAGTAATTAAAAATTTGACACCGACGTGCTTCACATAATTTCACATGCGTATGTGTTATATTTACAATGGAACAATTAATTTTATTTATTCCATAATAATCATATGCTGTATAGATTATAATAAAAACACATAGACCAAGAGCAATTAAACTAATGCCCGATATACCGAATGTAACAGAATAGAATTCTAGTTTACTTTTTTTATATTTATCTAACCATGAGCTAAGAAAATAAACACAAGGTCTGAAAGAATTATTATTAGGATCGAAATCTAGTTCATTAATATTATTAGATTCTGTCGAACTTTCTTGCATAGAAAGATAAGCAAAGCATTGACTGGCGCTTTATTTAGATTGATTAAGACATTTTATGGCATAGAATTATGATAGTTTTGTTATTATATTGTTTGAAATCGAATTAAATTTTTTTTGTGAGAGTTTTTCTTTGGGTTTAAAAAAACTCAACGCAATATGTGTCTTTTGTTTTCTTCATACTAATGCAGAATGCTGAAGTAAAATGCATATTGAATAGAAAAATTCTTTTTTTTTGCATTGTTACCATCCGCTAGTTATTCTTTTTTTGATATTTTACTGTTCACAATTAGACATTATTATTATTCTGCACATAGATCTAAGGAATAGATTAGCTTTTCTTTGTTTTAAAGGCATTCATTCTATTCACAACAGATCTCAATATGTTACTCTGCATATCGATAAAGTTAGAAACGCGATTACTAATTTTTCTTCCTTCTCGTCGCCTTTCTAAACGGCTTGTTTTATTCTTAAAAAAATATTGACTCATATATTTGTTTCTAGATTATTCTTCATATTTTTTGTTAAATACAACAGCACATTTCAACGTTTTTTGTTTTAAGATCATCTATTGATCATGTCATCGAGTGGTTCAGGCGACAAAGCTAGCGTAGAAGATGAAATCAAAAAATTAATTAAAGAGAATAAAGTTATGGTCTTTTCTAAAATTCATTGTACGTAAAAATCTACTTTTTCTAAAAATAAAAAAATTGCTAATTCTTTTTTTTGTTTTGCTTATTGCAGGTCCATACTGTGTCAAAGCAAAAAAAATTCTTGGCAAATACAAACTAAAAGATTATAAAGTGATTGAACTTGACAAAATAAAAGATGACGATGAATACATGGATGTACTTGGAAGAATGACAGGTGAAGATACTGTTCCACGTGTATTTATTGGTGGAGAATGTATTGGTGGTGGTGATGATACAGAAAGATTAGAGAGGAAAGGTGAACTTGAAAAAAAATTAAGAAAAGCGAATGCATTGGAAGATTAAAAGAAAACAAACCTGAATCAATCTTATTCAAGACTTCATTTCAATTTCTTCTCAGCTATTTAGAGAATGCTTGCATTTTTTCCTTTCAAAATCTTATTAATAAACACATCTCATTTTATTTTATTCGTTTGGTTTGTTTTTGTGGTAATACAAATTTAATACTTCAGGTTTAATGTAAAAGCAACAAAATCAAGTATATATGGCACAGCCAAGTCATGAACATAAAAAAGAAAATATTGAAAAATTGCTCCGTATTATGTATTCATCATGTAAAATAATCTATCTTATCCAAATTTTCTTGTCAAATAATCGAACTATTTCAAGATATTTCAATAAGTAGTTGAACTCCATTGGATCAGTGATAATACAAAGTAAAATGAATTTACTTAATGGATCTCTTAGAATTTAGTAAATTAAATAATAGAATAAACCCTATTGGTGAATTCGATGATATTTATAAACCTAGGTTTCTGCAATGTTTAGATGATTCTAACTTAACTTTACTTAGGTACACGATTTTCAGTTTACTGATAGAAATCTATGAATTTCTTTCAGTATTGTCGCAGTAGAATATTGAGATACTTTGGCATCTATAGAGAAAACATTTCTATGAATTCGCAAAAGCAATTATTTAAGTTGATCGTTCATGATTACTGATAAATTTAATTCTCATTGTTTTCAAGTAATATGTTTTTCAATTTAGCCCATTGCATTTTGTATTATTTTCAAAAGAAAAAATCTATATGCACTATGTGTATATTTCATTCACATTCTCGGATCCTAACATTGACAGAATGTTCACTCTATGCAAAATATTTTCAACTCCAATCGAAATGTTACACGTAGCTAGTGATGGATACATCAAGGAGAGATTTTTTGACTTCACGTCGCGAAGATGAAAGAACTTGAAAATAATATCAGTAGAACTTCACGAAATAGGCAAACATGCGTTTTTGAATATTTAGAAATTTTTAATTTAATAAAATAAAAATTAGATAAATATTTTGTTGATATTATTTTATGAACCATTCAATTATCTGTTCATCTCTTTTATTGCAATAATATTTCCGAAGACCAGGTGGTTGTATACATTTCATGAAACAGTGTTGCATCAGACTTGCTGATGGAATGTGTTTCAATCAATATAGCAAAATTATTGCAGGAGTCAAAATCAATTCTAATATTTATTCATAGTAACTTCTGACAGAAAAATGGATATTTTTCAACTACAAAAAGGACTTTCGAAGATGTTAAAAATTTCTGTTGATTTTTAATAGAAAAATAAAATTGCATTTTCTCTGTATAATTTATAAGTTATTGATATATTTTTACTGGTCGTTATTGGGCTTTATTAGTGCTATAGATGCTAAGATCGAAACGATAAATATATCAACTAATTTAGTTCGTAAATTAGACTCATCATTCATATTTATCGTTTAGATACTCGAGAGTCTTTAATAGACTCGTAATGAGGTATATAATTGTCAAAATATTCGAATTGGAAACTGCAATTAAATTAGTTCGATGCCATCGGTTTATGTGGAAAGATGGGTTTAAACTGATAATGAAACGAATGGTTGTTGTTCATTAACGATGATGTGGGGAAAAAATAATTTTTTTAGGATTCCATCGAGAGAAATACATCCCACGTACGATGATATTATTTTCTCATCTGGTTTTTTTCTGAGTTGCAGTATAAGTGGAAAGTAATAATTCAGAAAACATTTATTCTAATATTTTATTTCGAGTGAACACTACCTCATCATCTTCATCATCATGCAATCTAATACTATTGTCCGATTAACTATGGCCATGTGCCTTGTCTTCCTACTTTTCACTACTGTTCTTTCCGAATCTAGTGTAAGTTTTCAAATAATTATATTATTTTACTTACTGTAACTTGTGAATTTTTCTATTCTAGTCAGCTGATTCAAAAGCAGCGTAAATAATAATTCAGTAATATATATTTTCTTTTCTTTATATTAAAATTCCTTTAGATCCAATAAACGTGTTGTTCGATCGGTATTCAGTGAATCCGAAGATGATATCAACAAGTTTTGTCAACAGCTTTGTATGAATGATCAATTCTTGGCTAAACGGTAAGAAAAATTTGCTTTGCTGAATTGTTAGTGCTTTAATAAAAAATTAGTTTTAGATCCTATTTAAAACGCTTCGTTCATGGTCGATCAGTAAACGATAACGTTGAACAACAAAATGACGAAGACGATCTCCTCGAAAAACGATTTGTTCATGGCAAACGTTTCGTTCACGGTTAAACATCATACAGACAAAAAAAACTTTTCATTTTATTCATTATACGCATGTCGTTGTAATTAATTAAAAAGACTCTTTAAAAAAAATAATAAATTATGCGATTCGAGTTACTAAAATAAGTCAAACATTAAATAAGATATGAACAAAAAAAAAGAAATATGGTATTCATTGAATTCATGTTCATCACTGACATCTAATGGAAAAAGAAAGTGTCAGGCCTGTTTCCTGTGACAACAATCGGTGCTATGAAATAAGACGAGAAAAGAAGGGAAAAAAAGAAGTGAAGTATAAAAATAAAAACAAGAAGACCTTCAATTTGATGATTCAACAAGATATTTGAAGAGAAAAAAACCAACTATCATAATTTTAAATCTATATATAACTTTGTTTTTTGTCATTGTGAGTAAGAAAAGACAAAGTCATCTCGTATTACACAATGATTACATATCCAGAGTATAAAATCAATAATCAAACGATTTTACAAGAACAATTTGATGAGAATTATGAACCTACTGACGACGAAATCCGCGAATATGCAATTTACATTGGAATCAATCCAGATAAAGTAAATTAGTAGCAAAAAACGAAATCTCAAACATCATCCTACTGAAAATTTCTTTTCAATAGGAACGTCATCTTCTGTGGTTAGCTAAAGAAGGTATTATGAAACCTTTACCACCTGGTTGGAAACCATGTCAAGAAGAGAAAGGAGAATTATATTATTTTAATTTTGATACTGGCAAAGCATCATGGGATCATCCATGTGATGAAATTTATAAAACACGAGTTACTGAAGAACGGTATGTTTTATCATATTTTCATGTTCTTCGTCACTATCAAATCTTTGTTTTTTATTTTTCAAGACGAAAATTATCTGGATCAAACACATTACTCAATACGAATCCAAGAGGTAGATCCCATTATTTTGATTATTTTCTAAAATTATATTCCATTAAGCTTTTGAAAATAATCTAGATCCTTATCAATATAAACTTTTGCTTTTTATGAGATTCATCTGTGTGTCTTTCTGGTTTCTTTTTTCTAAACCTTTCTTTAGCTGCTTGAAACTCGAATGAGCGAACCTCGATTTTGAATAAACTACATTCTATCGTATTACCTAGATGAAGTGTTTATCAAACATAATTTTATAATAATAGTTTCTTCCATTATTCTAAGTAATAACATCACATGAGTACGACGTCAGCAATAAAAATGAAGCGATGTTGGGTTTCTTTTTGAATCTGCCTGTTTTCACGGTTCAATGAAAATAAAAGATTTCAAAGACGTTTCGATAAGCATAAACGTATTCCATAATTTTGCTCTTATGTGCCCCTGACGTACTCTAGCTTCAAATTACTCCAGAGAAGATTTCACACGAGCATATCATTCCTGCCGATCCAACTACTATTATTTGACTTGTGCCTAACCTATGCACACAAGTACGCACAGATATAATATATATTCAAATGTCATTAGATTTCTACAATAAATTCTCAATCATTCCAATTTGTATTCATGACTGCGATTATGAGTAATCAAATATGTTGTGACTTAGTTGATATTTAAATAGTGATGATTAATCGATTGCCTTGATATCATAGAAGTACAAAGTCTAAATTATAATGGTATAAGTTAAATATGCTTCATTCTTGATAAATTATCGTATAAGTTTAATACTAATGTCTATGAGTTTTGAAATGTCAACAAGTAAATTGATATGCACTCTTCAAATATTTTCTTCTTTCTTAAAAATATATTAATCGATTTGAAACTATTAGTAACGATGAGGTGTCACCTTGAAATTCTGTAGAAAAATTCTATATATATATATATATTCTTTTTACATACTTACTAAGAGTTTTCTAATACAATGAATACGATTCTATTCATTAATCAAATATCTTTTATTATAATTACATTTTATATAAAAGAATTAAAAATTTTTTATTAATATAACAGAAAAATTTACTATTGATCCGATGTCATAAATGTTTTGATAATAAGAGACTTATGAAACTACTAAGTATTATTATTATTACTAAAACCGTTCATCACGTCTACCGATTAAACGAGAATAACATTTCATACTAGAATTCTATAAAAAATTATTTTCATGTTCAGACACTCTCACTCAAACTGGCAGAAGTACATCGACCGTAAGTGATTATTTATCAGGTGGCAAAAAATCATTTCAAATGGGAACTCATGTTAACACACCGGTTGTGACGAGAACTGAAGCACAAGCTAATAGATTAGGTAATAAACAACAACAACAAAAAGGGAAAATCGATCTTCAAATTGTGAAAATTATTTTTGACTAGATGCTCAATATGTAAATAGTGATAATGATGAAATTGAAGAATTGATGAACAGCGACAATGATGATGAAGAACAAAGTAGCGATGATTTCAGAAGAAGAATTGATTTCGGTAAATAATGATATATTCTAGAAAATTAGGATAGATAATTTTTCTATTTCTATAAAAATTAGGTATTGACCCTTTACTTTCGGCACGTATCGAACGAAAAGAAAAAGAAGCCATTACAACATCAACAATGTCTGCATCTCGTACAATGAATTCATTCGAACATACAGGTATACTATCTTTAAATATCCTTACAAATATATATTAAATATATGCATACATATATGTATAATATATATATTATAGACAGAAAAGTTGATAATAGAAAAGATTCTCCGAATCATAATAATGAAGAAAATGTTCGAAAAAATCGTGCTGAAATAGCAGCGGAAGGTGCTCTACGTCATCCATCAACTACTAATGTGAATAAACATGTAACTAATTTAACTAACGTAAATATACATTATGATCTATGACTTTTAATTAAAATTTCTTTAGGACGATACATTAGTTACACCACGTGAAGAATATGATCTAACTCAATTACGATCACGACTTGAACAGTAAGTAGATTTATTTTTTATTTCATTTAAAAATTTGAATTTTATTTCATTATAAAGATCAGCTAATGAAGAAAAATTACAGATACTTGAAGATAATCGAATTTATATTGAAAGATTGAACAAAGAATTAAAGTTGGCAAAAGAAAAAGAAGAACAAATGTTACGTGATAAAATGAAAGCAGATTTAGCGTAGGATCAATTTCATAGAACAATAAACTTCATTTAATTGTTTTATAACATTTAGTTCAATCGAAAAATATATCCATGAAAATATTGCACGTGAAAAAGATAGATTGGAAAATCGAAAACAAGAAGAATTAAATAATATCAAACAAAACATTGAAAGAGAAAAGGAAGACTATCAAAAAAAGTTACGGTAATGGAAAAGTAGAATAGAATGATTTAGAAATAAATCGAAAATGGTCTTTAATTGTAGAGAAAGTATGCAATCAGATCTGAATGTATATAAAAATTCGCTTGATCAACACAATAATGCAAATACACAAATTCGTTCTTTACAAGATAAACTCAATCGAGAAAAAAGCGAATTTGAAGAGGTTCTATTTGTTTTTTATAGATGTATCATCTTATGCATGCGTAGGAATTTTTATTTCTTTTGTTTTTGATAGAGATTACGTCTAATAGAAAATCGGCATAAAAATGAAATTGACGATTTAAATCGACGTCATGAACAAATCAAAGCTGATAGAGAAAAATTAGAACAGCATTTGAAAGAGGTATGCTTAAATCTACTTATTACCGAAGTTGCTTTTTCCAATCATAAAATCTAAAAATTATCAAAGTTTTAAACCGATAAAAGCTTGCGTTAACACTTGACTTTTATTGAGATCACTAACAATGATATATTAACTATTTATTAGAGAGATACATGATAAATTATTTTCTTACCTTTGCCTTATTCTCTAAAAACCTCTGTCTATTTCTCATTGAGACGTAAGAAGTTTCTATTTCAGTCTCTCTTGATACTATCCGATTGGGGAAATACTAAAATCAGTACCTGAGAACAGAAGGACGTACATGATAGATATATTTTTGTGTATCCTTTAGTCTGACGCACGGAGAAGATCTTTCTAACACTTACTCAACTTTACGTTTCACAATGGAGCAATACTAGACATCTGCACCCGATGAATACTACATTCAAGAACTGAGCTAATTTTGCATAAATCGCATGATTAACTTAGTCAAACATTTCTAATCTTAAAAAAATAGTAGCAGTCGGCATTTCATTGTCTCCAAATATGTTTATCAATTGTGAAATATCCAGTATGCTGACAAATATTAGACCATCGATGACAAAACCTAGGAAAATAAGTCATTCACCCGTTAGAACCCTAACAGATTATGTATAAATGTAAAATGCTGGAAGTAATTTTGATCATGATATTATTGAGAAACACTGACTAAATTATTGACGACGAGTTCTATTTGCATAGTTACTCAGTTTAATGTCTTCGCCGAAATCATTCACATTTATAAATTTTTACACAACAGTCTCTTTTTCAATGTGACCCATGTCTGGTCATTATTATTATTTTCTCAATCTGATTTATTTTGCATAATAAATCAAAATTTCAGAGTTAAAAAAATCAACGAACAAGACTCTGTCTTGACGAATTTCTGATTACAAATGAAGCAATAATAAGAAAAAGAAATGCAAGAACTTAAGAAAGTAGTAGAGATATGTAAAATAAAGGATGTCTGAATTGAATTGAAGTGCACCATAAAGAGATCTCTTTTCATAAGTTGGAAATCTAACAAATATGATGATGTAATTGTATTTGTCTTTTATAGAAAGATAATCATTGTTCAACATTACAGAAAGCCTTAGATCAACTACGTAATGATAAAGGAGCAGTTGAAAGAAAATTACAAGATGCTGAAATACAATTGAAAGCTATTGATGAAAGTCATCGGCAAATAAATTTATCAAATGCTCACAGATCTCTCACGAATGCCACTGAAAACAACGACGATGACGACGACGATGATGAGGATGATGAAAATTTTGATCCAAAAAAACTGACTAGCAAAAATGCAAATGGTTTTCATGACAATGATGATGCTGAACGATTAAGTGACACAGATAGTGATGTTGTAGAAATGGAACAAACATTAAAAGAACTACGACAAACTCAACGTGACTATATGTCTCTTCTTCCGATATCAAACATAGATGATAAACAAAAGCAATATGCAAAAACAGCAACAGTTGATTTAACAAAACTATCGGTTGCTGATGTTGCTCCAGTTGTAAGAAATATTCGTACAATTAATCGTAATGCGCCAAGAATGTATGAATCTTATGAAACAATGCCTAATCAAGTATTAACCGATTCAGGAAGATGGTCGAATACGATGATGTCAACACTTGGTAATAATACAAATTCATCAGCGATGTATCAAACAGCCAATGGTTATCAACCGATACTAACAAAAACTAATCATTGGAGTTCACAACCAACTCTTGTTACAAGAGAAGCAGTATTAAATGCAGCACGTAAAGTGTTTGCTCCTAATGTAATCGATCAATTAACATCAAATTCAAAATCATCAACACATTGAAAATAGAAAGCTTTTCGTTATTGACTTTCAACAAGATTCGAGACGAACTTTGCACGTTAGTTTTTTTTCATTTCATTGTATAATTGTGCAATTAATTTGTTTCTTATCTTGAACTTATTGATGAATGTATGCGCATCCTTTCGTTTACTTATCCTATGCTTTTGTTTTTTGTGTGAAATCGATAGAGAATCTTTTTTTTTCAGTATGCATTTTCATTTTGTTTGTTTTGTGCAGATTTAAATAGGTTATTCTTTATTATTTCTCGAATGTTCGCTTCTTCCGATTGCACAACAGTTTTTTTTCGGTTTCTTATAGACGGCTATAGATAGACCGGTTGTATTTATAGGTGTGAAATAGATTTTTCTAGTTTTTTTCGCGAAATATATAAAAGCTTGATATGAAATAGTTTCCTTCTTATTCGTATTTTTTTTTATTTGTCCGTTACTAAAGGAATTTCAAATAAAAATTAAGATTATATTTACTACATATATATATATCTGTTAATAGATTTTTCTTGATAGACTAAAAAACAACAACACGATAATATCTATTATCTATTTATTTTGACGGTTTCTCTTAAGAGTAACTATTATTTTAATCATTATGGAGTTTTAGCGAAAGAAAAACGTGCATTCTTGTTGCAATTGAATATAACAATCCTACGTATTATACACGAAATCATTCTATACTGCACGTCCTCTCTTAATTCTTTATATTCAATCATCTACATTTATATAACGAATGGATCATAAAGAATGTCACCTTCTGTTTACGTTATGAGAATCATCGATTATTAAGTTTCATCAAGATTTTAAGTATCTAAATACTTCTTTGAAGCTTTGTTAGAAAGAGTACACTCGAAAACACAGAAAACTTGCATTAGAATTGGGTTTCGTATCCGATTTTCTAGAAGAAATGAAATAATTAATTTTCTAAAAATGCGCATTTGAAAGTGAGCCATTTTGGGACATTGCAATGTTGACTGGATATACTTTCATAGCTAATCGTTCGAGCAGCTCTTTTCACTAGGTTTTCTAGAGAATTGCACGGGCTACCTTTTAGAAAAAAACTGAAGTATCTACGCCACAATTTGAGCAAGATATTTCAAAAACACTGAGGGTGACATTCTTTAAAGTACATTTTGAAATCTATTTACTTTACTAGAAATAGAAAATATGCTCAATTAAATTTTTGCTTCTAGTAAAAATGTTATTTCTTTCGCATACAATGTACAGGATGATCGACAAGAACCATTGAAATCTATCGACCAAATGTATATAAGACTTCTTTTTACTTGAATAATATGTTGACTTTCAAACGAAAATAAACAAATATTCAAATGAATGGGAAAATGTTTTCAATTATATATTGGCCTGTTGTGAATCTATTGAATTTTATGACTATATTATCGAGAGAAAATTAAAAATAAATATATTAATAGTCATAAAACAGTAAGCTATATTTCATGTACTAAGATTTATAAAAAAAAGGAATACTTTTTCATGCTGAAGTACTTTAAATATTATCCTGATAACGCATCAAATAAGTAAAAACAAATGCACATGCAACATATGTGTATTTCTTCATAAATCAATGTGATTGTGAGAATAAACCTTCTGTCAGCTTTCTTCAAACTATTTCTAATAGCAAACAGTATTCGCTTAGACCTCGTAGATATGAGTAGCATACATCTCTCATTATTTTGTCTTTTTGCTGTTATATATCCGGTTCATTTACTTGATCCAAGTTGTACGGGTAATTATAATACAAATCCAATAATACGAGATGAGCCCACTTTTGTAAGTTCTGTACCAAATGGAAAACGGTTTGTTGTTGGAACAGATTACACTAAAATTAATATTGTTCATGTCTATGGCGGTACACCATACGATATGGGTTATGCATTAGGTTCATTGATGAGTAAAGAATTGAATATACTTATTCCTGAATATTTTGCTTATTTGGATAAAACAATTGAAGATGAATTGAAAAAACTACCACCAGTAAAATTTTTTAAAATTCAATTTTGTTTTCCTCAAAATAATATTTTTTCTTTGCCCAGTTTGTTGCAAAATGGATTGCAGAACTAGGTATACCAGGTGCTCTTGATTTGAATTATGAAATAACGCGTATCTATACACCTCCTTGGTTTGATGAAGAAATTCGAGGTATTGCTGCTGGTAGTGGTGTATCTTATCAAAATATTCGTCGGTTGAATTTAATTCCAGAACTAATCAAAGCTGCGTGTACTGTTCTCGGTGCATGGGGCGAATCAACGTTAACATCAGCATTACTTCATGTACGATCACTTGATTGGGACGATCAAGCTCCTCTTGCTAACTATGCCATAGTAACTATCTATCATCCAAATGCATCCTACGAGGGTTATGCGGATCATTTTCATGAGTTTTATAAACAAGAAAATTATAAATCACACGCATTTGCTAATATTGGTTATCTGGGTATGATTGGATCGATCGGTGGCTATAGTGAAGCTTCAATTGGTTTAGGCGAAAAAGTATGGATTACAAAAGAACAAGATATAACAACACGTTTTGGAAATCCATGGACTTATGTTCTTCGTGACGTTCTTCAATTTTCACATTCGATTGATTCAGCTTTAACAATGTTTACTAATGCTCATCGAACGTGCTCAATTCATCTTGGACTTGGTTCATATGAACGCAATGTATCAGCTATGAATGATGAAAATATTGGATTTCGTGGTATTGAATATAGTGCAAATGAATTGAATATCTACAATTGGGAAGATATGTTTGATACACCACATCATCCACGATTGAAAAATGTTGTCTATTGGGATAAACATGTTCAACCATCAGATGATCCATGTTTAGGTAGTTTGCTTGTCAAAGGTTATGGCCAATTGAGTCCAGAAATTATCATTCAAAATATTACGAGTGTTGCAGAAACCGGTAATGCAATTAATTTCGTTCTTGACTATGGTGAAAATGCTGCTTATGTCGCATACAGCGCACCCGATGACCCACAAGGGCCATTGGAAGCATACAAACGAGCTCATATAAGACTTGATATGGCCAAATTATTTTCTGAACCAGCACCAAAATAAAACTATCATTTTAAAATAAATTTGACGCTAAATTTTCACTTAGACTTTTTTAAGAACACGTTATTTTTCTTATTTAATCTTCAAATTTGCAGGAAAAAAAACACAGAAAGAAACAAAAAGTATGACCAAGCATGAAACAATATACACAACAAGAAAGAAAAACAAAAACAACATCGATAACAACAGTTGTAAATGTCCTAGTCTAGTTTACAAATCATCAAGATGTGGCAACCAAAAAATCTAAACAAGATAATAATAATAATAGTTTAAACAGCCATGGAAAAAAAAGCATACCAGTTGATTCGATGCACTAACAAGTAGCATAAATTTTGGATTCATAGAAACGATTGTTTGACCAGACATTGAATCAGAAACAAGTGTACATACACGATTACCTGTTTCAGCATTCCAACAGTGAATACGACCATCACTGGCACCTAAATATAGATTGATAACTATTCATACAATATCTACAGGATAAAAGTTTGAAACACAATATAATTGTTCTAGTTAATCCGAGAAAGATATTCTTTTTCATTTATTTCAAATCCGATTGTTAAATTGAGAGTTATGAAATAACCATTCTTTTTTTTATCAGGTCGAAGGTCAATTATTAGATATTTCAGTATATTAATGAACAGTATAAATCAGTTTAGAAGTTAAAGTTACAAAAATTCATAAATCCTTGAACTAAGAAAAATATTTAAAATTCAGATAAAACTCTCAATGAAAATCAAAGTGAGGTCAAGAAATTTCCCAATCCTAATTATAGACGTCATTCTTCAATTGATTATTGGCATTTCAAAGTAATACAAAACTTATCTACATATTATAACGAGACATCATTAATGTACAATATCTCGAGTTAGAGAATCTGTCATAGTTTGAGGAGAATACCATATCTCTCATATTTTCTTTCACTATTCCCTTTAGATCATGTTAAAACAAAAATACTATCGTATATTTTCATTCTATTTTACACACCACAAAAGACAAATTGAGCGTCCGGACTGAATGAAGCTTCGATGGGCACATTTTTTGTATTTGAAAAGCCCTGTAATACAAGCAAAACGATAATGAGTGTAAATTAATTTATGAATTTAATTGTATTTCAACAAACCGATAAAGTATGCTTGAGTTGTCCAGTAAATGCATCAATTAAACGAATAATATTACCATTCGTGGTAAGCATAATGGTTTTACCATCGGCGCTAAATTTCAAACTTGTCCATTCACAATCTTTCTCTTTTGGTAATTGAAATGTTGAAAAAGGACCCTATTATAAAATATAGAAATATTTTTCTTTTGCAAATTCAAATCCAATAAAATAACCTTATCGAATGAACGTAAATCATACAATTTAATCATTTCAGACGTAATGCCAGCACCGAAAATAAGACCCTACGTATATAAGATTTAATCATTGATTTTAAATATATTAAAAAAAGATCTTACCTCTGGATCAAAATTTGCAACTGGTCGACCATTCAAATGCATCAGACCCTGTCAAATAACAAAAATGCATTATCAATCATTGTAAATAAACTGTTAAAAACACGGAACACTAACTGCACAGTTAGCTGATTTTAAATCCCATAATCGAATCGTATTATCAAGAGAACCAGACAAGAATATATCATCGACCGGTGACATTGATAATGCAATAACTCTAATTGAAAAAAAAGATTAAATGATCAATTACAAATACAAACTCAAATATTCGATTTTACTTTCGAACATGACCAGGAAAATATCGAATATATTTGTTATCATGTAATGATAAAAATCGAATCGTATCTAAAAAAATAAATAACTATCAGTTAAATTCATTAAGAAAGATTTCTTAAATTACCATCAATTTTTGTTGAACTATGTATAACTGTATTTGTTGCATGTGTAAAACGAATTAGATCGACACCATATTTTTTGCTATTAAGGGTCTTCTTAGCTCTTGAACAAATAACAATAGTAAATTGTTTTATTATTTAACGAATACATAGAGAAAGTTAGAAAACTCATGAATACGTACGATCCAGCTTGACAATCATATATAACAATAGAGTCATCATCACTACTTGTAATTAATGTTTCACCATTAGCAGAAAAATCCAATGCATTTATTCTATCTGTATTTTCATGAAAAACACGAGCATTACGAAATGTTTTAACAACAGCTTCGGTTAATTTAAGTCCTTCAACATTATTATTAGATGTTGAATTTGAAGGAGATGTTGTTGCATTTAACGTTGTAGCCATTAGTTGAGATTCATCACGCATAATCAATTCATATGAAAATAGAATGAAAATTAAAAAAGGTTCTTTTCGTTTAGGTAATTCCTTAATGAGTTTTCCGTTTTTCTGTGAATTTGATTTCACATTGTGTTGTATTGTGAATATTGTTCATTGGTTTGACGAATCGAAAGAAATCTTGAGCGCCACATTCGATGAATTTATTTAAAAAATTTTTGCCATTGGTCGACTCCGTTCATCAATTAGAATAAGGTATTTGTTGGTGTCGAAGACAAGAAGAATAGGTCTTCTGTGTTATATCGAATTGAACATGAAACCGCTGGCAATATTTCGAAATCAATTCGATTTTCAATCTCTACGATGGAAAGACATGATTCGGTTTGTTCCTGTTTAGTAATTAGTTTTTAGAACTGAGAATTTGTTTTGATAATTTTCGAAAAATATTATATTGTCATAAAATCATCGCGAAGGGTCGAGCGTACTTTTCTTTTATTTCGAAGGCGAAAGTCATTCCATGCTTTTGAAAAATACATTTATTTAGATGGTTTCCCGGTCATATGCACAAAGGTATGAAAGATCTCGAAGAATCACTATTACGTACTGATGGTATTATTGAAGTTCATGATGCGCGTGTTCCACATTCTGGTCGTAATTCAGAGCTATATAAGCGATTGGTTGGTGGCCATAAGCCACACTTACTTATACTTAATAAGTCAGACTTAGCCGATCCACATTATGTAAATAAATCAATGGAATACATTCAAATTGAACAACCAAATACACAAGTTGTTCATACAAGTTTAATGTCAATTGATATGAAAGAATTAACAAATCTATTCGGTCGTCTTCTTCAACAAATAGTTGAATCACCACGTTATACAAGACGTTCATCAATTGAATATAATATTGTTGTGTGTGGAATACCTAATGTTGGCAAATCAACGTTTAGTATGTTCATCTTCGTTTTTGTTTTTTGAAATTTCGATATCAGAAAACAAAATTCATGATTCTTTCTAGTTAATAAACTTCGTAATTTATTTGCAAATAAAGCCAGTTGTGAACGTGTTGGCGCAAGTCCTGGTGTCACACGAAGCATGAGTGAAAAAGTTAAAATATCAAATCGACCAAAAGTATTTGTACGTGACACGCCTGGCATACTTGAGCCACGTTTAAAATCAGCTAATGAAAGTTTTCGATTACTTTTAACTAATTGTATACCAATTCAACAACGTGAACTATCTGATATAATTGCTGACTATGGTTTATTTCTATTAAATAAATATGAACAACAACGTTTATACATGAAATATTGTGAACTTGATAGACCAACTGATGACATATTAACTGTTCTAACTGCAATAGCAAAGCTAAAAAAATGCACACAAGTATATGGAAATAAACGAGGCTATGATTTGACAGGTGCAGCGTTACATTTCATTAATGAATTCAATAAAGGTACATTTGGTAAGTATTCTTTTTTGTGTTTGGTTTAGCATCTTTCATTTTTTGCATATTATATTTTTATTCTAGGTCACATAACACTTGATCAAGATATTCTTGATGCAATGGAACAAGAAAAATTGAGTGATACCAATTTATTTCGAGCTAGCTCTGGTCGAATAAAAAAATCAATTTAATTCCTTAGTTTTTTTTTTGATAGAAAACATTATGTATTGATCGATTTTTTTTATGTTTTAGATAAATATGTCTAAAAATTGGAATGATAATATCGAAACATTTGCTAGTAAGATGCATATACTTAGTATTTGTTTCTCATCAAGACAATGTTCTTTAATGAATTTTAGAACATATTCAGATATATAAAACATTAGCTCTTCGTTGGCAAACCAATGTAAGTTCAGAAAGTTTTCAAAATAAAGTCTTCTGTCAAAACTAGAAATAAATATTGAACTGATATTTATAAATGAAATAATTGACTTTATATATTACGTAGAAAAGCTTTTTTTCCTGAGAATCAGAATATTGCGCCTTTCCTGTAGTTTTTCCAAGTGAAAAAAATCCAATATATATATATATATGTCGCAGTAGAAATTAAAATTCTACTAGTAGAAATTGAAATTCTACTGAATTTTACCTATAGTAGAAACTAAAATTTCAATTTCTACTAGTAGGATTTTAAATTCTACTGAATTTTAATTTCCACTACAACATATATATATATATATAGTTTGTAACAATTGTTAATAAAATGTAACTAAATAATCGAGTGTCAGGAGTGTATCGACGAATAAAGTTGTTCATTTCTTGTATTAGAATCATTTAACATATCTCTCCTAATGATGTTCATAGAGTTTATTTTACAGCTTTTCTCCATGCAAACTATTGACTGACATCAGTTTCACCTATTGGAACTGATCAATAAACACATAATATCTGTAGTTAGGCGATATATGTGTTTTTTCATGAAGAGATTGGAAGTAATCTTTATATGAACATTGGACATAGTATCAGAAGTTACATCTAACTGAATTACAATAAAAGTAACGGAAATATTTTAATGGATAACAAAACTGTCTTTCTCAGTCTCAATTTCATTCTATGCTATTCTATTCGACGATTGAGACATTGAACGATGCGTCAACTTCTCTAGTTTAGACTTTTCTTTTAATGTCTTAAAACTCAGAAAAACATCTTGGAAAGGACATTTTCGAAAAAATTAACTATTTTTTAAAATTTATCTTACGAAAAGGATACACTAATCATTAAACTCATGTCTTCTTTTTGTTCAGCCAAGTTTTCTACATCGAAACTTAAAATATGTTCATATTGCTCGAACGCCCATTCATTCTAATCGGTAAAATTTGTCTATTTAAATAAAAAATAAAATAAAAATTTGTAAATTTTTCTAGTGTTTCAAATCAACATCTGTCCATAGAAGAAATATTTAAATCACGATTAGGCGAAAGTCTGAATAAAACTGCATCGTCATTATTACGTGGCGATGCTTTTAATTTACATTTACGTGGCTGGTCATATGATCCAAGTAACTTATTTATTTTTTCTCTCTTTATTTCATTTTCTTAACAGTTTTATTTTTCAACAGGCTGTTTAACAGATCGACGTGGAACTAAACATAATATTTCATTTGATTTATCTGCTTCGTGTGTAGAAAATAATTCACTTAATACATCAAATGTATCTCGAACAATGAAACTGGGTCGAATTGATTCAGCATCACCTCGTGGTATGTCATCGTCAATGAAAGATGATGATGACGATGAATCATCAACAATTTCATTTCATGTTTCAACGAAATATACATATACATTAACATTTTCAAGTACAATTACAGCTAGTCGTGGTATAAGATTTCTAGTCTTGTTTTTTGACTAAAGATTGAATAATTTTGTTTTGATTCTTGTTTGCTCAGGTGATGGAAATAAAGTTTCAATATCATATGGAAAGCGTGTTCAACTAAATTCACTATTTGATCCTCGACAACCTATGTCAACAAAACAATCATTTGAAATTCAACTGACACCCGTTTTAAATAATGGACAAGAAATAGTAAAAATTATTCGACTCGCTTTGATTTATTCATCTATTGAGAAAAAAATTCATTTTAGTCAAAAACAATATTGTCTCAATTTCCAACAACATTTCCAATATTTTTCGATCTTACTAGAGAAGCTGTTGAAATGTTAAGAAGTGGAACATCAACAAGAAAAAGACAACCAATATCACCAAGTAAAATTCCAGCATCTCATCATCAAGAGCAGCAATATCAAGATCCTAATGCTAAACGAATGAAAACAACACAAAAGCCTAGTATATAATCATATTGATGATCAAAATTTCATGATTAAATTTTCTATTGTTAGATAAAAATTCAAATAATAGTACTAATCTATCATTATGGCGTGATAATCAATCCAATAATGATCATAGTTCATCAACACATTTACCACTATTCTATAGTTTTGTAGCGGAAAATAAGCAATGTTTAGCCACTAGTTATATGTCATCGAAAGGTCATTGCTGTCTTTGTCAATTTACAGCTATCAATAATGATGTAGAAGTATTAATTAAACATTTATCTTATTGTCATCCACGTTTCGCTGCTTCATTAAAGGTAAAATTTCAGCATGATTGAATCAAATTAAAAAAATCTTTGATTGTAACCGAGAAAACTAGATATTGAACTGAAACCTCAGTACGAAATTATAAATTTATAATTTATACACATGTGGACAATAGTTTTCATCAGAATCAATCTAAGATCTTTTCTCTAACCAGAAATCAATGGTATGGTGGAAAAAGACTACGTCCCACAGATAAAAAAATTCTCATTTACTGATGACACTTATTGACATATTTTCGAACCTCATTACTCATAGAGATTACACCTTGATTTCATTTCTACTTTTAGAAAAACAGTGATCGACCTAATATTGAAATACGTATTAATGCATTCTATGATGGGTCACTTGATACATTTGATATGTTTTCTGAATATTATCCACGTAAAAAACGTATTACTAGTGAATTAATTCTTTGGCGGTAAAAAGCGAAAAATGCATTTCTTTTTAATAGGCGTACAATTTTATGATTCATTATCTTTGCTAGGCCACCACGCTATCGTCGTTTGGCTATGGACGATGCACCATTTGTTTGCCGACGGGCAGCATTAACTCGAGTTTATCGTCATACAACAGGTGCGCAACCCATTGAACCAGAACATATGCAAAATGATAGCGATGATGAAATTTATCCTGAATGGACACAACAATTATCACGTCGTATGATGGAAGATTTTCAAGATGTGAATGAAGGTGAAAAAGAAATGATGATTATGTGGAATCATCATGTTATGAAACATAAGTAAATATATTTAAATAAGTATTTAGATCTAAATGGAATTATCGTTGTCTTTCTCTTTTTTACAAGTTTCATTGCTGATAGTCAAATGCCATTTGCTTGTGAACTTTTCGTTGAAAGATATGCAAAAGATTTACGAGAAAAAAGTCTTATCAAAAACTTTTATTTACATTTGGCTACACTTCAATTATATAATTTAATTAAAAAAACAGACCTAGCAAAATGTATTATTCGTTTAAAAACTATTCTGGCGTCATCTCCATCTGTTTCAACTTCAACATGATGTTATATAATTGAAATATAAATATACAAACACATATATGTTATATAGATATCTTATTCTATTTCTTGTATCTACTAATTTTTTGTTGTTTTGTCAAGAGGAGATTAAAAAAATGTTTATTGTATTGAATATTTTGATAGAGTGATATATACATAAATATCAGTTTATGAAAAAAAAAATGATAAAGAAATAAGTTGATTGTGATTAAAATGTTTACATTAAATATGAAAATTTCATAATAAATATCGAGATATTTTTGTTGATATCGATCGAGAGCTATTCCATGGATTATGACTATCAGGATTTTTTTCATTTTGAAAATTTTTTCTATCAAATAAAGACATTTTGTTGGTATGCTAATTGTAGATACACTTTTGTAATTTTAAGTTTCAATGCTAAATATAAGAATACTCTGTTCTTTTCTATGACATAGAATATTGCACTAAAATCCATATAGTAATGTAAATGATCAATCAAATCCTCTATCATGTGCATTTTATATCGATATTTCATAGATAGTCTAAACGAACGTGCTTTCTCAAACAAATCAATAATGGTAATATTTATGCATCTAAAGACTACATAGAATTTTTAATAAAAATGAGAATTGCGTGCGTTTCTTATAACAATCTCTTCCATTTAGATATAACTATTCGAAAATGTGAAAAACAATGTAGTCTGTCTGGAACTCGACTAAAAACTGCATCGATTACGTTACCGATAACTTTTGAGGGGAAAATCAGAGAACAAGTAGAGATTCCGGATTTTGTATGTTAAAATCTAATGCATCACAAAACATATTTACACAACCTTTTTATATTGAATCGGTACTGTGTCTTCCTACACTTATGGTAAACGTTCTATCCTATTTACGAAAAAAAAAAAAACACGACGATGCTTTTATAATATGAGCTCAAGAGTAGACGATAAAAACTAGTGTCGACAGGATATGAAAGTGCATTTTGTAGTTGAACAGAATAATCGGAATGATGCAAAAGTATTTAATACAAAATGACAATGAGTAAAAACAATGATAATAGGGCGATATTTAACTCGATAGAGTTCAATAATTAATGTTCGATTAGGCAATTTTTACTTCTTCTAAATGACATACATATTCGGAATGAAAAGTTCTTCTAGTGATGACAAATTTGAAGGTGTTAGATTAAAAAAATATGACAAAATAATAAATCCATATATGGAGAACAAGACAAGAAAGTTTTTCAATTATTTATTTATAGAATAGAATAGAAAACAAAAGACCAAGTCGACAAAAAAAAACAAATAGAAGTACTCTATAAACGATCTGAGTAGACATGATGAGCATAGTTCGGTAAGTATTGACCGTGATTTTCTTCGTGTGATGAATCATCTTGCTCAATTAAATGATTTGGCTCGTAATAATAATTTGAATTCATTGTTGTTGGATAATAATAAAGATTTTGTTGTTCATGTTCAGTATTGTCGATTTTAGAATTATTATCACGTTTAACTGGTAGACGTGCAGGTGCTCCACGAGCTTTATATAATTCTTGAAAAAGATCACCAAGAAAATTTTTTGGTAAGTGCCGTCGATATTCTCCATACTCACATTCGACATCATTTTTTGTTTGCTTTGCTTGGCCTTTATTGATTAATTGTACTTTTCGACGTTTATTTTGAAACCATATACGTATTTGATCACGTGATACACCAATATATTTCGCGATAAGTGTTTTCTGTAAACTATTTGGATATTTATGTTTTTTAAAAATTTCATTCAGCATAACAAGTTGGTGGCGTGTATAATTGGCGCGATTTTGTGGTAACATCATTGTTGATGAAGATGACGATTGAACGATAAAATCATTTGATGAATAGAGATGAGGTGGAGGAAGAATAGGTGCCGATGAAAATTGTGATGACGAAGAATAAACAGACATTTCGGATGATGATGCTATTGGTTCTGAACTTGATGGATAATAGGTGTCAATTGAACAATAATTTTCGATAGGTTGGAGAGCAGATGGTAAAGATGATGTTTGATAAGTCATGGTTGCCGATGGACAAAGTAGAGATGATGATGACGACCAAGTTGAGGACATATTGTTACCATAATAAGAGGGATGATAATGAGATGTATTATTGAAACAATTGGTATCCAATTGTAAAGGTGAAACATTCATGGTTAACAGTAACAATTTAGAATTGTCTTGAAGATAGACAAACGATCTAACTGCTTCTGTAATGGAAAATTGTTTTAATCGAGCCTATTTATACGTCGTTTTTTTCTTTCGATAAAATACATAAGGGAAAAATTATTAGGAATTTTTTTTCTTGCTCTCCGGGAAGGCGATTGTTGTTCGGTAAGCAATTTATTGAACACACTAATCAAGTTGATCCGTGATGATGTTTCTTTCCATTCGAATATTGTATATCAAGGTGAGAATAAGCCAAATTAGATGCCAATATTGTCGCGTAAAAGATTATGCAATGAGTTTCAATTTAGATGATCATTTTGTGTACTGATGGGAGAAGTACGTAATCAAATTAGCAGAAAAGAAACGTAGACCTTGAGGTGAAAACAGAATGATCTCATATGCTAACATAGAATTTCTATAGATGTGGTCTCAAATAAAACATTGTTTCTTTTTTTTCGGATTCAAAAAGATCTTTATAATAGTGTCTTACAAAGTGAAATTAGCTGATTTATCTTACAATTCTAAATTACAAATGTATGTGTATACAGGGAAATCCCCTTTGAATTAAATAATAAAAAATACCACGATGAATATTGGTTTGTGAATGATTTTTTTTCGTGAAACAAAAAATATAAATGTATAAATTGTATACTATTAGGAAGTTTTTATTTCATGAGATTTAGTGCTATGTACAATAGAGATTTCATATTTATGATATTGAAAAATACCATAAAAATTATAAGTATAAAAATAAATAAATATCCATTGAATGGAGTATTTGTAGATGAGGAAAACAACAATTGATCACTACCTAACAAACGTGAATATTTAAAAAAACGAGTTATGCAATTGATACTCATTAGCTAGAATAGATTAGAAAATAATAAAAATTGAGATCTCTAGAAGTATTTAATGTTCAATAAAAGAAATAATTCTTGTTTTGTTTTTCGTAATATATAAAATGACTGAAATTTCATATAATGTTGTTTCTCTTATTTTATCTTTTACATTAAAAAAATTAATTCGTATGTTCTTATTTGATATTTAACATCATATTTTCTTAGCTATATATTTTTTTCTAATTTCGTTGGAATGGAAAATTTTATAACTGGTCAAAACAGATTTTTTTTCAGAAGGATTCTATTAAAATCAGTTATTAATTGTTTCTATGTTAGAATTTTTTGTTTGATGTAAGTACTTTCTTTACTGGAGAGATCTTCACCATACATTTTTTGATTGAATGGAATGTTTTAACATAGGAATATCCTTTTTATTGTTGAAGTTGAATAACAGATTATCAGATTCTTTGTTAAATCATCGGCGTTCTTTTTTCTATATTAACTAGTCAAGATTTCTTAACGATGTAGCTATACAAGAACAACGATAAGAATGCTGCGTATATTAGTGGTATACTTTTTCTATATAAATGTGCGACATCTATTTGTCGAACGCATTATATTTCATCAATAGCACATCCATGCATTGTGACGTTGACTGCTGCCATTACACTTTCCCGTTTAGATTGCAACGTTGCGTTGTCCTAAACATGGTATATATTGGATGAAGTATATTGGTGCGCTTGTGTACGTGGGTTAGAAACAACGATCAGTGACGATTTATAGCAGTTTCCTATCACTATCATCAATTCATTCTCATATTCATAAAATCACCAGAAGTCGACGAGCAATATCATAGAAATGGGTATTAAGTTTCTTGAATTTGTTAAGCCATTCTGTCAACTCATACCAGAGATCCAAAAGCCTGAACGTAAAATTCAATTTCGTGAAAAAGTTCTATGGACAGCTATAACATTGTTCATCTTTTTGGTTTGTTGTCAAATTCCTCTATTTGGCATTATGTCATCAGATTCAGCTGATCCATTCTATTGGTAAGTGATGAAATAAGGAAATTTAGCGATGGGATGTATTTTTTTTAATCAATTTTATTATGTAGGATTCGAGTTATTCTTGCATCAAATCGTGGTACATTGATGGAATTAGGTATTTCACCTATTGTTACATCGGGCCTCATTATGCAATTATTAGCCGGCGCAAAAATAATTGAAGTTGGTGATACACCCAAGGATCGTGCTCTATTTAATGGTGCACAAAAACTCTTTGGAATGGTTATTACCATTGGACAAGCCATTGTATATGTTATGACTGGCATGTAAGTTAATACTAAACTAAATAAATTGTTTTCATTTTATTTTGTGAAACACGATTCAATGCCTGGAAAAGATGAGTAGAAGACAAATCAAAATTAGAACCCTAATGGACTCTATTTTTATATGATCACTGATTATATATGAATGAATGGCCTATTATATTTCTAGAGAATTTAATAAGAATATAAGAAAAAGATATATATCATATAATAGAGAATATCTTCATAGTATTAGGACAAATGGTTACATAGTGTTTTATATTTTTATTTGCACAAAGCTTGCACTAACTCTCTTTTCCCCCCCGATATAGGTACGGTATTCCATCGGAAATCGGTGCTGGTGTTTGTCTTTTAATTATTATTCAATTATTTGTTGCCGGTCTTATTGTCTTATTACTTGATGAATTACTTCAAAAAGGCTATGGTCTTGGTTCAGGCATTTCATTGTTTATTGCAACAAATATTTGTGAAACCATTGTTTGGAAAGCATTTAGTCCAGCTACAATCAACACTGGACGTGGTACTGAATTTGAAGGTGGTATTATTGCTTTATTTCATTTATTGGCTACCCGACACGATAAGGTTCGAGCATTACGCGAAGCATTTTATCGTCAAAATTTACCAAATTTAATGAATTTACTTGCTACCGTATTTGTCTTCGCTATAGTTATATACTTCCAAGTATGAAATTCTTTTTTTAATTTGTGAATAGTAATTTTTGACAATTCTTTTTTTTTTGCCAGGGTTTCCGTGTTGATCTACCAATAAAATCAGCCCGTTATCGTGGTCAAACATCTTCATATCCAATAAAATTATTTTATACATCAAATATACCAATCATTCTTCAATCGGCACTTGTTTCTAACTTATATGTTATATCACAAATGTTGTCAACAAAATTTTCGGGCAATTTCATCATCAATTTATTAGGTGTCTGGGCCGATAGTGGACCACAGCGTTCATATCCTATTGGTGGTTTATGTTATTATTTATCACCGCCAGAATCATTACAGGCTATGTTACTTGATCCTGTACATGCTTTACTTTACATAGCTTTTATGCTTGGTTCATGTGCATTCTTTTCAAAAACATGGATTGAAATATCTGGTTCAAGCGCAAAAGATGTTGCTAAACAATTAAAAGAACAACAAATGTAAGTAGTAAATACAGTAACAAAAACGCGATGAATTATCTATTCAAACATTTTCCCTTAGGGTTATGCATGGCCATCGTGAAAAATCAATGATTCATGAACTTAATCGATATATTCCAACGGCAGCTGCATTTGGTGGCCTATGTATCGGCGCATTGTCGGTATTGGCCGATTTACTTGGCGCCATAGGTTCGGGTACTGGTATTTTATTAGCCGTAACTATTATATACCAGTACTTCGAAATATTTGTTAAAGAGCAGAATGAATTAGGTGGTATGGGTACACTTTTATTTTAAAAATTAAATTTCTTTCTTACATCTTCGATTTTTGGACTGTCATATTCGTTCTGGTTTTGTTCTTCTTAAACTGATCGCCTATTTATACTTCATGTGTGTTGCCTTGTTGTAGTATTACAACAGGAGTAGCATAGATTTTCTTTGCTTTTGAGAACCATGAAATGAGAAAGAAAAAAAAGGCATTTAGATTTATTCTAGATGATAGAAATAAGTGAGTATGTGTATGCATATTTATAGTTTTGTTGTTGGTGAGAAGATCTACTTTTTTTTTCTTTCCATTTGTATGTTTTGTTTCTATGTCTCTTTCGTGTTCCTTACTATTGTTATTTCGTTGTTGTTTTTACTTGAAAACAAAACTGTTTGTGATGATTATAATGATTAAAACGGAAAAAAATGAAATATCACAAACAAAATAGAATTATCCGAAGTTTAATTTTGTTCATAAGATTTTTCTTAAAAAAAATGCAACCGATTGATAAGATTTTAACTAAAGATGACAAAGAAGAAAAATTGCTGCTTATGGCTTAGAGCGCATTAATATACAGAATCATATTTAGTAAAGATTCATTTTCATTTTTTGTTTTGTTTTGTTTTGTTTGTTAAAATGAATGGTTGCTTCATGTTGGTTTGCAATTAGTATTACATTCTAATAAAATGAAATATGTGCGGCGTGCGCTATATATCATTTCGAATGGTTCACTTATAAATTTCAATTACCAATAGATTTGTATTTGGTTTTGTTAACCGTTTAAAATACCTAAAGCTTGTTGGCTGCCAAGAGAAAACTTTGCAAAAATTCTTGACGCATTCAAATGTATACACTAGTTTCACATTGCTATAGTCAGCGTTTGGTTAGATTTAATGACCATGTGACCAACGTTTCTATCATTGGTGACGATAACCTACAATTCGGTGATATATTACTAGAAAATATAGACAAGAAACGAATTGAATGTAAGATAGCTCCGAGAGTATGGAATTTTTTAATTCAAGAAAATAAATTTTAGGATTTGATAGGCACTCAATGATAAACTCCTGTCAAATTACAGGCTTAATATCTTCCTGATGAAGAAAAATTCTCTTTTTCCTTTTATATATTGCGTTTATGAGTATTGTTGTCTCATGTGATAGGAAGACATCATGATAAGCTTATGCACATCCCAGATACTTCTGTCATAAGACAAGTTTTGTATGGTGTACAAGTATTTGATCCTATTTTGTTGCATTTATCTTCAAAGCAGTATGTTTAAAGAAAAGATGTTTATCTAAATTATATGATTTAGTAGGCAATCAACAATAGCTAGAAGAAGCAAACACAAGTTAGTTTAGAAAAGTTTGACTGCAAAAAGATAATCTAATTAAAGGTCTTTACTGTTCAAAACTATTCAGTGATCATTGGGTTACTAACATGTGTATCGATCTTCATATAAGTTTATTTTTTGTACGCGTTTTTTTCAAATATTCTTTATGTATTGCAGAAGTTAATTGTTTTATCGGCTATTTTAATATAACAATAGTTTTCATTTTGGTGATTATACAGAAAGGGGTATACATTTTACTATTTTTTTCTATATGAATAGTAGTAAGAGCAAAGATAAACATATCGTTATTTTCTTATCACCAACCACTCAAGAGAGTGAATTATATATGATTAGAAGTACTGTTAAACAGCTGCTATGATTGTTATTACTTCAATACTATGTCTTTCTCTCTATATATATGTAAGGGCTAATAGATTATTAAAAAATGTATTTAAAATAAGATTCATGTAAGTCAAACAAATGGAATATGATGAAGAGATTTAACAATGACTTTGAATGATTTACTAAATAGTTCCATATTGCTATAATATTGAATTGTTAACTGTGACACTCATAGACCTACGATCATGTCATAATTGCAGAAGTTGGATTTAAAGCATCGAACTAAATCGAATCTAACTTGAAAGTACGTATTACAGGAAAACACGAAAAAAATAGTCAAAGCGCGATGTTAAAATTATAATGATTCATAGTATTAAAGGAAACTAATTGATTTAACTCAATATGATGAACTCCGAATAGCTTACTATCTCCTATATTTGAAAATACGAGATGGATATGTACTGTAAAAGAGAAATAAATGGCATTTAAATGAAACGAACCACTGTATCGATAGAAATTCTCGAACATCATCAAATAAATTTTCATATGCAACTAGATGTATGCGTTTGTAAAATGTTGATACAAATATGTTTTCTATTGATTTACGCAAACTATTACTACTGTATATAAATCGGAAACTAGCCGGCCCAATAGTGGCTACTATGTTTAATCAATAATAATGTATGATGAAATAAATTGAACTATCGATACATCATCATAATACTAGAAGGAATAAGTTAAAGTCCATGTTCAAAAAAACTCTGAGTGATATAATGAAAAATTTACACGAGAGTTCTCAGATTCAAAGTGGGAATGTTTTCATTCATGTTTCTAGACAATAATAATAGTAAAGACAAACTCCTTCTCCTACATTGTCTACCAATGTTATGTACCTTAATACAGTGATTTATCTACTGTATGGGCAGGGTGAGCGGGACCCACCCAAAATTTTGATTCGCCCATCCTAAAATATACAGCTGATTTCATAAAAGTGACGTGTGGCCCATAAAGAATGGCAGTGTCATTATTTAGTCAATATCTCTTTTTGCTCTTCATTGATTTGAACTGAGCCGTTTCCCAAAAGATTAAGATTTCAATTCTCTACAAACTCGTGTGTAAAAGATTTTTTAAACTAAAAACTGGCTAAGTACTAAAACGAAGAAAAAAGGTTCAAAAATCTTCAACTTTCAAGCTCTAAATACATTACCATTTGGAGTATGTTTCGACAGTTTGCACGCAGGTTTAAATTACGGAAGAAACATTTTCTGGTATTTTCAAGTACGCTCTTTTCGATATCTTTGAAAAACATTTCTTTAAAAGTGGTCTTCGCCTATTAAATCGATATTTTCCGAAAACTAGTCCATAACACCTTAATTTCGGTTTTCAAGAAAGTCTACTGCAAACGAAACTTTACATCATTCGAACAAGTGTACAGGGGTAGAGTCGAGTATGTTGGCTTTCAAAGAAAAAAAATCGTCAAAAAGTAACGCGTTTTTAGTGAATGGCAAGTGTTTTTGTGCAAAGCATCAAAAACATGCAATAACAGTTGGGTTTTTTAGGAAAAACGAAAAAATTGATGCAGAATATTTTACTCATTTTGTGATGAACACAAATTTTGAAGGCATGAATCTTGTCCAGAATCTGATACTCTTTAACATGGTAGACTCAGTTTTTTGTAGATCCTCACATGGAAAGCAAATTTTCAAAAAAAAAACGGATTCTGTGCTTGAAAGTTGAAGATTTTTGGACCTTTTTTCTTCGTTTTAGTAGTTCGCAGTTTTTTGATTTAAAAAATCTTTTACACATGAGTTTGTAGAGAATTGAATGTTTAATCTTTTGGGAAAAGGGTTAGCTCAAATCAATGAAAACCAAAAAATATATTGAGTAAATAATGAGACCGCCATTCTCTATGGGCCATCCGTTACTATATGGTAAGAAATTTTCTAGCCAGTAGCCCCTCCAAAAATTTCAATCGCCCACCCAAAAAATGAAACCTAGATAAAACACTGTCTTAATAGAAAAAAAAACTGAAAGCTAAATATAGGGATAGAATTCTTCAACTTACGCACGCAGATAAAATCATGAATTAATAAACAAATATGAAAAAATTAACTGTTACTTACTTCAAAAACTAAGTAATGGAAATAATACCTGTAATAATGATAGAGGCATCAGATCAATGATACAATCTATAAGAATACACATCAATGGAATTACAGGACAAAAAAAGAAGTAAAGAGCTTTATTAAAAATAGAAGCAAACAATACCAGATGATTTGAACCATGATATTTACACATAATACGATTTCTCATAATTTCCCGTGCACTTTCTAGAGGAAAGGCAGAGTTTTCTTCTTGCGACTATTCAATTTGAGTAAGGAACTAAATAATTAATTTTTTTCTTTTGAGTCAGTCTTCAGTAGAATCCATAACAGATATAAATAATGTTGTGAAACTCAATACAGAATAATGAGTTTAAAATTTAAATATTATATGTAATTCTTCATATTAACCGAATGATAAGCAACATACATTTATGATACACGTGATTTTATTTTTGAGAATTGTCATACTAACGAACACAAGCCTTTCGTTCAAATTCAAGAATACAAATATTTATTTTATTTTTCTGACGAAATCGTCTTGATAATATGAACCACATGTATCTGGAGATTTTATTAATTCACTATGATAGAAGAGCTTTTCCCTACTCACAACACATGTACATCTATTATATCATGTTAGATTACCATCAATTGTATCAGAGTGTAATAATTTATTGTCAAAACTGCTGCACATCACTAACTTCTAAACAAACGTGGAAAACTATATGAAATCATTTATTTTCTAAAAGAATAGTCAAATAAACAAAAAAAGCTTTTTTGTTTTCGCTAAAATTCTTGTCGTATTACGAATTATTAGATAAAAACTTCTGACTGAATGTGAGTTAATGCCAAAATAATGTGAATTCTAATAATTAATAACACTTTCTACACGGCATGATTCGTATTTGAACCTTATCATAATTACCATAGATATAAAAATATTGTTTTCTGTACGCTTATCAGTATTTTTTTTATTAAATTAGACAAAATAATGATGGAAGCACAGAAGCCTTCTTTATTTGAGTTGACATGTACTAAGCGACTGCTTCGCTCAAAGCTTGACTGATTTCAAAACTGATATAAATCGATAGACATCTATGAATGAATTGTAGAGAGGAACTGGTGCAACACGAATGATATCGCCTCGGCTGTCTAGCTGTTAAAATAAAATAAAGACAAAGTTAATGAACAATTTCAAATAAAAAACAACAAAGAAAGCCTACGCAAACACCGAGTCGTTCAAGTTCATCAAATATTTGTCGAGCATCAGCCCCTACGATACGCAATGAAAGTTGTGCACCTCGTTGTTTAGGATCTTTTGGTGTTAAAATATTTATTTGAAATTTACTTGTTGCTTCTGAAAGAAAATAAAAGTTAAAAATAGACATATAAAATAAAACAAAACTATATAGATATATACGGTTTATTTCCTTTTCAATCAAACATTGTAAGTATTGAGTCAGTATTTTAGATTTTTTTCTCAATTGTTCAATACCAACTTCGCCAAAAATCTATTAATAAACAGAAAATTAAATTTCTATAACATATATTACACTACAAGTACTATATTCAGTTATTTCCACAATATGGTTTCTCTCGAAAATAGTGCCTCAGTTTAAAGATAACTAAATTGAACAGATGAAAAATAATCATTTTCTTTTACTTGAAGACTCGCCGCTAGCGTTGCACATTGATGAATAGACGGATTACTAATACGAAACCCATCTGCTCCCACGCCTCGGTCGATTTCTTTTTGTTTTTGTTAAAGAGAAAATAGAAACACTTGTACTGATTGATAATTTCAAATGAAACTAATCATTTTTACCTTTGGTCATTTGAAATCGTGTTGCATCTCGATTACCCCACCAGCCATCGAAACGGGGATAGTCTTTGTCAAAATGATTAGAATGAACAAAGATACCACCAATACAACCAGCGCCTGAATTTAAATACTTATATGAACAAAAAGCAGCAAAATCAACTTTCCAATCATGCAATTTTAATGGAACATTTCCAATAGCATGTGCTAGATCCCAACCAACAGTACAACCCTGAATTAAAACAATCATGTTAAAATTTAAGAATAAATAAAAAGTGATCAATTTTACTTGTTGTTGAGCAGCCTCAGTTATTGTTTCTATATCAAATAATTGCCCCGTATAGTATTGTATACCACTAAGAAGAATAAGAGCAATAGATTGGCCATGCTGTTTAAGTAATTCAAGAATATCTTCTGTTCTAATACAATCTTCATTCTATTCGATTATGAAAAGTAATTTCAAATTTCAAATCAAAATTTTATTTTACTTCTCGCGGTTTCACTATGATTGCTGCTTCTTCTGGTGTATATCCATGAAATCGTATTTGTGATTGAAATGCATATTCATCACTAGGAAATGATCGTTCTTCATAAAGAATTTTAAAACGTTCAGCTGTTGGTCGATAAAATGAAATCTATGAAAGAAAAGAAAATATAAATATTCTATTGTCATGCTATTAACATTTCCTGACCATCATAAAATGAAGATTACTTGTCAATTGATTCATCACGCCTACTTCTTTGTCTTCAGCGCCTAGAAAATTCGTTAGAAAAACAAAATAATATTTAATAGATTGTGCTAATTTACCCAGAAGTTTCTGTAATGTTGGTATACATGGATAATCACATGCTGCAAATGGATTTCTACCATGAATATGACCATGTACTCCTCTAAATAAATCTTATTAAAAAATAAAAACTCAGATTTATAACAATAGAACATATTACAGATCAGCCCAATCGTTTAACCAAACATCAATTGCTTGCCGTACTCGGGTTGATTGTAAACCTAATGAATGCCCACATAAATAGATGCAACTACTATCAGAATTTATACATGATTTATCGACTGGATACATATAAAGAAAAACGAGTTTTATCTTTAAAAATAAGCATACTTTATCACACTAAAATGTACCTTTAGGTAGACTGGTAAGTTTTGGAAAGTGAAATTCATCTCGTATATAACTTAATGTATCATTTTCATCGAGTTTACGAGCAAATGCCTCGCTCACTAAAGGTATTTTCCATTTTTCCGATAGTTCATTAAGAATATTTTGTGGAGTTAATTCTTCATCTTTTCCATTACAATTGGCCGCCTTCATTTGTGTACTTAATATCAAATCTACCTTAGATAAAATAACCATATCCTTCGTTGGAGGCATTTTAACATCGACGAATTATAATACGATTTGACAGGTTAACGTAAGCGTAACGAGTATACGGACAAGAATAATCCGAAGATTTATCTATTTTTAATGTTATTTATTTGCCTCGTTTAGAAAAGTAGAGAGGAGAAAGAAGAAAAGAATATCGTCCGATAGTTATGCGTAAACCATATTCATTTTGAAATAAAGTGATTCTTTTGTTTTTATTTAAACGTTTAAAATTATCAAGCAAATGTTAAATCGTAAACAATTGCTTGGCCATGTTTCATAGCGATTATTGTCATCATTGTACATGATTTAAAATAGTTTGAACTTTTCGAATATTTACATTTGAATAATAGATAAAATAGGACATGATTATTTATGTCTATCGATTGCGTAAACATCTAACAAATTTTTATTTGATTTCTTATTTCTATTCCTAGTTTCGTTTTTGAACCATAAAACGATCACTTGAACTAAATTAAGTCAAACTAATTATCTCTTCTAATTTACATAGACAATACATGAGTATTTTTAAAATACTTGTTTTGTAAGGAGTTCATGTAGCACAGTGGCGTAACTAGAATTTTTAGGCCAAAGGGCAAAATGAACAAGATTCTTATTGATAGGCCAAACATTTTTGTTAGTCCAACAAAGTATTGATAACGTAACAAACACAACAATATGAAATGAAATCCTTCTAATGAATTGTATATCATTCTTCGACATGAGAGTTTGGCGACAGATATTTAGTCTACCGATACGTTGTCGACAAGAAAATTCGATAGATTTATTTCGTCGGCCTCTTTTTATCGAAAGTTCGTTTGTCGACATGTTTCGTAGACAAAATAAATTAATCAAAGACGTATTTTTTTATCTTCATTGTGAATTTCTAAGTTTTGGCAATAAAACTGCGCCTACAACTCTTATTTTTCAAGTAGTTAATCAAAAAGTATTTCCTTTCAAAACGTAATTACCGTAATACCAACAGCGTTTTCATTATACGGATCGAGAAGTACGGGTCGGTTTTCACAGAAAAACGCGGGAAATTATTGGAATATGAAATCAGTATTCTCGTCGGAAAATTTTCGTACTTTTTTCCGATCCAAGCGCATACCTAAAACCTCTCGCTTTTGGTTGCAACGAAGAAATGGATTGAATTAAAAACAGAACGCGTCAATCTTTCTCCGTACTGACTTTTTTCTCTTATTTCTCAGTATGTATATTTCGATAAGTATACTACTTATTTTTTATATTTTTTCGTTTGCCTTGATGAGTACGTAAGGGCACAATGAATTCAAACTCTTGAGATTAAGTATTACTCAATTTAGTTTGTTGATGGCTGATGATGAGGATTCCACGAAAAATAAAATTTATCATGTTTTACTTTTAGATCTCCTCGGTTATCTCGTTAGTTCCTTTAATAAAGTGACTAAATTGACTAAAAAGACTAATCGGGTTAACGGAAATAAAGACATTGAAATGGACTATGCATACTAAATATTATCAGACATAAGCAAGATGTGCAAGCATAAAAGCACAACGGGATACAATTATTTTTTCGTGAACCTATGAACAATTCTGTAAAAGTAAAATTACAATGGGCAAGTCTCAAAATGAAATGGATAATTGTTCATGTGCCGCCTCTGGTTATGCCGCTAATATAGCATACTAATAAAATTGGTACTTCGCATTATCAGAAATTTTCTAGATTTCTATAGAATTCATATCGAAAGATTGAACCTCTATTAAAAGCTATATAATTCAGTTAGAAAATTACAATAAACATTTTTTTTCCCGCCGAAATCACTTAGGATCGTGTTGTACTTACTTTGTCTATGCAATGAAATATAAACGGATTCTTCTTTCAGGTTTAATCCATGCAACTGTACAATCATGTGTATTGAATTTTCTTTTGTTGATTCACGAAAAAATGATTACATTTTTGTCTCAACGATGTAGAACACTAGCTGAAGTCCAAAAGCCAATCAATTGCGAAACGCATATTACTGTTGTTTTCATTTAAAATTCAGTCTTCAAACATAACAGCGCAAAAGAAAAGTTTATTAATTGATGTTGACAACGATCTTCTGTTTTTTTTTTTTATAGAATTGAATCAATTTCATTTACTGTCTCCAAACAATTATCGAACTTGAGTAACATCACATTTATTCAAAGTTCATATAGAACTAGATGGCCTTGAAAATGTTTACTCATCGTAAATTTTAGTTTAGTTTTCAGTGGTATAGCAAAATCAAGATTGAAAGAGATGAAAATTTTTCTCCGTTTTGTATTATTGTTGATTTTATGTTGATGAATTTTATATCAAGTTAGTTTATTTTCAACTTAATTTCTCGTGATATGTTATTGTGAATAATCAGACTGTGCTTATACCAAGACAAAGTGTCGCGGACAGTGGCAACATGTTGTATAAAAAGAAGTAGTTAAAAACAAGCAGAAGAATCTGCATAGCGCCAAATTGTTCATCGTTCACTAATTCATCATAGTGAACGTCGTAAAATATTACATTTTTGTCCATGTGATAGTCATGATGGCATTGGTAAAGATCGAAGTCATTTTCCATATGACAAAAAGAAAAACTGTTAAATCGAAACATTTCTATTTCTATTATATATTATATAGTAAATGTATACAATGGGCTAATTTAAATAAATTGATTGTAAAACCAATCAGGAAGAAAATGATATTTTGAATCAGATGACTTTGTCATGCTTATTGTTTGAGAAGATGGTATGAAACGAAATAGAACAACGTCCCTTTATAAGAAGAGCGAAAAAAGAAAGAAAAATGATTTATAATTTTTATAATCCATTTATAATTTAATTTACTTATGATTCATTGAGTATTCATCTGTAACATTTTCTTTAAGAAATTGAGCAAAAAGTAGAAAGAAGTTGAAAAATGAATAACGATTCCATGTATGCTATAAAGACAAAATAGTTTCTATTTATCAATTAAGCTTAAAATTGAAATATTACTGTTGCTCGTTCAATGTCTGCTATACTTAGTGGTTCAAGACTATTGACAATACCATTATTATCTCGTAAACCAATTACCATTGTTTTAATACCTTTAATATATACTTAGATTGCATTTGACAACAAAACAAAAGAATATTTATTACCAACAAGAAAACATTGGAGCCACCATTTAGCAAATTTACGATTGCTAAAACAAATAATTAATTATTCATTCATTCAATTAATTCGCGAAATTGTTGTATTTACTGTTGAAATGGTAGATCGTTTAGTGATTTCCCAGCGGAAATTTTAAGTTCAATATTTTCAGTCATTGATAATGATTGTTCTACGATACAATCCATTTCAGCACCATACAATAAACGGTACGAGCCAATATTTCCTTGAAATACTCCAGCAAATTGTGTTGAAGGAGTGATAGGTTCAGTTGATGTGTTATCTAAAGGTTCTGAAAAGAAAAGATGAGAATTACATGCAAATAACATATATTTACTTTTAGTAACATATTCTTCGAATTTATGACCATAATAACAAAATGAACGATGTTCAGGAGTCATATTTTGTTCGTCTTTTACTTGCATATCTGTTACATATTCGCAGAGAAAAAAAGCATTCTTAAATTTTATTACAGCCAGTAACCAATCGGAATGTTTTTCAAAAATTGAAAACATAATAAGACGAAGAACACCACGCCACGAAAGGAAATCAAATGTAAATCTAAGATAAAAGAATAATATAACTATTCCTCTTCACACAAAAGAGTGAGAATTTGAGAAAACAAATATATTTACTTATCATCTCTGAATATATCTTGTTTATGCCGTGATGTCCACCAGAGCATTGCATCAATATTTTTGCTTTGCCCTTCAGAATTAAAATCTGATTCGCCAACTTTCAAATCAAAATTAACATTGAGTGTTTGAAGTGAATATTTGTAAACTAAAATATTTTATAGATATATCATATGTGAAAATTAGATACCTCTTGAGATCAAGTTCGTTTCTAGTAGAACAGTCAACAAAATTCTAACAAGTTAAAATTCCGAATCTTGTGAATTAATCTACTCGGTTACGGACACAGTTGTCTGATCAACGAATTTCTACTTCCGAGTGGAATGATGATTTTTAATATTTAATACATGTGGAACCAATTATTGAACGGAATAATAGATCAGCTAATCTTAGATTCATCTCAATACTAGACTGATGAACTGACATAGTATTCAACCGTAAGAACAGAAAAAAATAACGAAAAAGATCGTTCTTTAGGTAGTACGAGTACTAGTGTGATTTCCAGTTGAACATTTAATCAATGGAAAACTTCATATTTCAATGTTGATTTCTCTCTCTTAGAATATCTCAAAAGTCATGAACAATTGAGTTGTAAATTTGCTATTATTAAAATGACTAGATAATGATAATTTTTATATTACCACGAAGATAACGTTTATCTTCAAAACATTCTTTGTCATCTTTTCGATTAAGTAATGAAAAATAACCAATTTGATTGGATTGAAACTGAAATGATGATTGCTGACGATTTAAAGTCTTCCAAAATGGTACGGATAATGAAGACTGCTTGTTTTCTTTAATTAAACAACGATTTCCATCAGAATTATGAATACATTTTCTAGGTGACTCCACTAGATTATCTTCGTATTGCTTGCGTTTTTCATTTGTTGATGGTGAATTTTGTTGGATATTACGTTGAATTATACCAGCCTCTTCTTCGATTACAAGTTCATGTGTGCCATCCGTTTTTATTTGTGCACTAGCCATAATATATTAAATATCTAAAATATGAGATCTAACCTTACCATAAATGATAATGCAATACAAACAAATACTTTTTCTTAAGTTAGTTGATCGTAGTTTTTACTTACGATTTAGTGCAAACCATTTACGATTTACAAAAAGGCGTTTATAATTCGATCAACTATCGATATTTATCTATTCATTACCATCGACTTTAATGCCTTAAAAAAGTACCAAAATGAAAGGAATACAGACTTCTGAATAGACCATATTGTTTGAAATAATCTATAGAAAAATCAACGCGTTATATCGATTCTTGTAATTATAATATAAAATCATAAGATAAACGAGTAGTGAAAATTTTATCTAGACAACATTTATTTTTACTGGTCGATCCATTATGGAATTCAGTTAAGTACTTCTCAAAAAATTTGGTTTTGATTTGTAACTTATGAGCTCCACAAAGCTCTAGGGCAACTATTCGTAAGCAGCGCAAAATATCGATTTGAATCAATTTTTTTCTTTTCGATTTTCTACTGATACTCAAGATGGATCGTAAACAAAAGAAATAGTTTGTCTGGGCACTTTCGTACTAAGTACTATTGATCTCAATTTAGAGTATCAGTATGTTTGTCGAATCAGTGAAAAAAACATTTCGACTAATTGATCGCAGTATCATTCAAAAGAAAATTAGAGTCACGATTATTTTGATCGACTTTAATCAATAAAGCCAACACTAAAAGATGTTCTCTAATCGATCATATTTTTTTATTTGTGTTCCAAAATGACGTGATTTCAATCAAAATACTTTTAGCTGCATATTTCCTTCTTTTTTTTTCTTTAATAAATAATACATAGAACGATCTGAAAGAAAAAGAAAATACGTGGCAAGTAACAAAAAATAAATCACTGTTCAAATAGATACAGATACAGAAGAAAAACTCAAGCAAAAATATAATGTTTCGCCTTCAATCTAATTAAATTTGCAAGATAGGATTTGAATCTGGATGAAGAGCAGAAATAACAATCGATTGAAAATTTTCTAGGACTGTTAATATTTGTAAACGTGAAATATTTTCAAGTGAAGCTATTTCTTCTAGATGATAAGTTCCATCGAGATATTTTATGAGCCTGAATAAAATTAAAACACATTTAACATCAAGAATAGAATAATCACGGTAGATGTTTACCTTAGAAAATCAACAACATGTTGTTCTTTTGCATCTTTAATAGCTGATGCAAGCAGTTGACGATATTCGGCTCGTTCATTTGGCAGAGCTTGTGTTATTTGTGGAAGATAATGTAATGATATTCGATTACTGATTCCTGTTGTACTACTACTCACTGATCCTGAAGCAAACACATCCTCATGATTAGTGTTATTCGAGGTTCTTATCGTATCTGCTGATTTAGAATTATGAGTAGATCCATATGATAATGCACTTGGCATAGGAGATGAAGCTAAAACAAACAAAAAAGAATTCTTTATTTCGAATAAATTGAAATTAAATAATCAGAAATTTATCATTTGATCTGAATCAATGGAAGAAGCAAGTTTCGATATTATCGTTTTTCTTTTACATTGAATATTTATATGATAAAATATCAGAGAGTGCATACATTTTTATCATAAATACTTCGATTTGTATGGTCACAATGTAGTTCAACAACTGAATAATCGTCCGTACTTTTGTTATCAATTATGGGACATGACACCTATGGCGAGCAATACTGTATACGTCTTCTCTTATTTTTACATTATCAATCTCTTGTAACAATATCTATTTTTTACAGACAACATTCATCACAACAAAGCATCGAGAAAAGAAAAAATAATAATGATTCTTTACCCATATTATTTTCAAATCCATTTATACTCGATGTATTCCCTCGTATATCGATATTTTCACTAGACAAATGAAATTGCTCAGGTTTTGACAAAGATCCGAAACCTTCGGTTGAATGCGGATAACGCCTCTAGAAAAAAATAAAACTTACATAATGTTGTAATCTCAGACAAATTTCTCACAAGCGGTGCTCGCGATGGAGGTAAACGTAGTTTTCTAAATTCATCTTTAAAGTTGTGTCGATCATCATTTGGTAAAAGAAGATAAAAATAAGTATGAACTTGAACAAGCAAACGATGGCGAAGTAGCCATTCAACACATTGATGACGTTCATGCTGAAGAATAAAAATATGATATCGTTATTTTTCTATTTTAATTTAGTTGGATAGAGTTTTACCTTTTCGTTTTCATCTTCAATACGTGGTACATGATCATGAAATGCAATGGCATCTGAATATTCAGCCAATGCTTCTTGTAATGTTGGATAATTCAATGTATTTTGAAATGTTTCGTGATACATTTTCGACAGAGATCCTCGCCTAACAAAAGAAAAAAAATATGTAAACAGTTATTTGAATAACTATTATTCGTTTAAAATACGAAACATTATGTCATTGGTTATGATTATCATAGGGAGATTCTCATTCTATGTATATTTCTTTATCATAAAGCAACAGTGTCTGTAGCATAGAGGGCTGTAGGGTGCAAGATTTTTATAACCTGTAACCTGCCCTGTAAATTTTTTGTAACCTGATCCTGCCCTGTCCTGTGAACATTTTTGCGTACCATGCCCTAACACTTTCTATTGTAACCTGTAACCGGCCGTGCTTTGCCCTGCTATTTTTAAAATAGAGGAATATCCAAAATTTCCTATCAATATTTATAATACATTTAATTATATGTACTTCAAATTTGAATCGGATAAAAATAACGCTGAATTTCTTCAAGATTTCTAATAGAAAAGTATCGAATAAACAAAACTAGCTGCAATCTATCATAGCCGATCATTTTTTATATTATGAGTGCTTTAGTCTCGGTAAATTCATCTTTCTTCATGCATAATTTTTTTTAAAAGATACCGGAAATATCGATTGTTCAAAACTAATCTCAGCTTAACAGGTTACGATATGGACAACCTGTAACCTGCTCTGTAAAAATTTCAGAACCTGGCCTGCCCTGTCAGGGCAGGGCAGGCCAGGTTACGTGCACCCTGCAGGGCTCTACTGTAGAAATTGTGAAGTGTGAACTTCTATTCTACGTGTATTATAGTATTCTCTTTCAATCATATTAAACGAGTCTAGTAAACATATTTTTATTTTATATACTTGGATAAATCAGCATCAGGTGAGATAATATAAATGTTATCTTCAACAATTGGATAGATAATTTTTGCTCGGCCCCAAAACAGTAAATGAGCTGTTAGACTATAGATCTAAAAAATTTAACAAAAAAAACATGATTATTTCTAGAATCAAAATAAGTATAAAACAAAACAGCTAACTTGAGACAGTTGTATGCCAGTGTCTAGTGATAAACTAGAAAATGAATGTGATGAACGAACAGTTTTTATCAGTGTAACTAATGTTTGTGAACTATCCGTTGGTAAAGAAGCAAGCAATACCAATGGATCTATTACAAGCAATAAACCATAATAGGGCCTAGAAATATAATGAAGGTTTACTTCAATAAATATATAAAAAAACGATTATCTATCTATAACCATGTCATAATGAACCATATATATATATATATATATATAAACAAACGGATATCTATCATCGGGTTGTTTATACTAGATTCGTGTAAATAGAGATTTGGAACTGGTAATTTACTTGAAATTCAAATCTTATGAGGAATAGTTTGCCCAATAGATTCGATCTTAAGTTTGAGAAGACGATGAGTCATAATAACTAATTTTAATAATTTGTTTCGATCATTTAAATATCACTCGAACTAATTCATTGATTTGTTCATGTTAGGATTGGAGTGTTGAGAGAACTTATTTAGCTAGACTATCAACCATATACAATTTATGTACGAACATAAGTAGAATTTTGTGACAATTACAGAATTTGTTTTAATATCAACAGGCAGACACTAGCTGTTAGTTAAAATATGTAAGATATTTAGTGAATCAAAAGATTTTTCCAGATTTCTATATGTATACTTTCATTATGTAATATTGCTTATTTTGTCATTGATTATTGATGTAATTTGATGTCGAAACTCAGTAATATACTTGAACTGTTTTCTTCAAAATTTCGTGAGCATATATCAGTCGTAGGATGGAGATATTCGATCGAACACATCTACCTCACTCTCATAAATAACGTAAAAATTGATTATGAGAGTGTTCTGATGAAATTCTCATACAAATCAATTTCCTTTTTTTTGCTCTATATATATTTAATGTATCATAAAAAATTTTTCACTGGGAATTTCGTTTTCATAAAACTATCGTTCAATAATGCTACGAAATAAAAACAAAAATATCTTACTTTAGATAGTCTACAGCATTTGAAAGCACATTAAAAAAATAATCTGTTTCTAACGGGCAGTTTATAGGTACTGATCGATGTGGTAAACAGCAGGAAACATTTAACCAGTTATTAATTGATATATTTATTTCACCGGATACTTGTAAACTAAGCAGAAACGATCAAAATCTTTGTATTTTCTTTTTTTTGCTCAATCAAGCTATTTACTCCATATATATCTGTCTTAAAGTTGCTGCTAAAGGACTTTGTTCAGCCATTATTATGTAAATTTCTTTATTGTTGTCTTTTTGATCGCGTTCTCTTGTATTTTCTTCATTTGGTAAACGATTTACTATTCAAAGTAAAAATAGAAATTATACTTTGCAGTTCAAAACAATCATATACATGGATCATTTGGTTCAGCTTCATGTTGTTGGATAACACTTATTAATTTTAAATATTCTTGATTTAAATATGATGCTCGTCGTTCTTCACAACGTATTGCTGTACCAATACGTTTACTCATGTCTTGATACGATAATATAACAGATGCTTTCGCAATTGCCTAAATTATCAATAATTAAATATTAATGCCAATTTAGATGAATATTTTCCTATTTAAATTACTCGAAGTGCAAAGAATATAGCAAATGATTTTAAATTTGGATTGCCTTCTAAAAGAAGTGTATGGCCAACGAAAATAACATCATCAACTTGTACTTCGACATGACTGCCATAGGAATAAGGAGTAGTTAGAATTGCAAGAGTTGTGTCATCGAAACTAAATCAAATAAATAATAATTAAAAAGTAAAAATAAAATTATTGATATTCTTACTTTAAAAATGTACTTCGAGATGCATCCTCTTCTTTAACACTAAATTAATTCATATATGTGTTTGCTTTTCTATTTTTCATACTAATTTACCTCGGTGGATCAAAATCTTTAGCAATAACTACTGCATAAGGAGTATAAAAACTAGTTGGTTCCTCTACAAAAGTCTTAGATGAAATTTAACGTTATACTTAATAGGAAAGAAATATAATTACGTAGTTGTTTGTATGTCTTGATTTCTTCATATTTATATAACACTCTGCTTTTGTCATGAGCACTTTCAACGACAAGTAATATTGCTATAAGATCTTTTTCCAATTCCTGTTACAAAACAAAATAATTGGTAAAAACAAAATAAAAAAAGTACAGATAACCTACTATACGAGCCATTGTCAATGGTTTCTTTCTATTTCATATAGAGCATGAATATATGATCTATGGCGAGAATGTAGGATAAGAAAAAAATATCAGCTGTTTACCAACAAGCTATCCTAAGATTACCAGAGGTCGCTCTATATCGAAACAGAATGGTTCGAATATTTTCTAGGATCATGAGATAACGTATATCCGTAAAATCAATTTGTAGTGACTTTGAAGCGCACTGCACCACTAGATTTGAAATTTAAAAAAATAACGAACTAGATATAGTATGATAATTAATTATTTATTTATTGATCGATTTATATGAAGACGATTAAAATAGAGATCTTAACCATGAATCAGGATGTGGATGAATAAATACAAGAAAACACTTAGACTGTTGTGTCGAATGTTCTAAAGAGTTAGATATGCCTCTGAAAATATTTAATAAACTATCAACAAGTCAATACACACATGGACAATGGTACAACAGCAATAACAGTAACCAATGTTCAATCAATGAGAAATAAATAAATAGCTGAAGATTCATTTGATTCATTCTACAGAATATTCGAAGTTGATTATATTCCCTGTTAAAATAAATAACTGACGCGATAGCTTATATTATTAATATCGCCGTTTCAGTTGTGTGTCTCTGAAAATAACTTCCAAGACAATTCTGCTACAGAAATTTGATTACTACCATAATAAATAGTTAATTTAACATGTCACCATTCACAAGATGGCTCACTATTAAATGAATCTTTGAAAATCTTAAATATGTATCATTGTCAACGATAATTTTTAGAATAGTTTGTTACTATTTTGGTTAAAGTTCTATACTGATTTTAATGAATAAATCATACATATTAATAGATCATGGTATTTGTCAAAAAAAACTGAGAACGATCAATCCTTTTAATGATGATGACTATCGCATAAATATATTTTTATTAGACCTTTCATTACAAGCTATATCGAAACGATGCATAAACTACAATATCATTAACAAACATTTATCGGTATTGATTCTGAGAAATTTTGTTCATAATGATCATCACTGATAAAAACCTAATATGAAATCCTCTGAATGCATAAAAACTTTGTTTCACGATAATTTGAATCACCTGTTCTGCTGATTAAACTTAGCATATGTTCATTTTCTATTTATACCGATGAGTAGTATATTAATCGTTGTATATGAAGAACAAAACATCGAGGAAGATAGTGTGTTCATATATGAAAGTAAAATACGAAATCACTCAGCATTGAACAAATGAGAGACCACTCTTAATGTAGGTCAGTCGCAGAGGGTTGCAGATGACACATTTTATTATCTTTCGCTCTTAGAAGGCATTCGTACCATGCCACTTGTGTTGGTCCAAAACCTCCCCATGACCACGATTGAACAACTTTAGATGATTTATTATCATTGTCTACCCATCTATTGTTAGACATATGTGTAATCAAATAATGTCCCAATGTGGTAAATTCAATGAAATCCCGCACTGATCTTACAGCTGCAAGCATCGGCTTGTTATGACGTTTTTCAATAAGACGTATAGTATTTTCATATAAATCACGTGGAAAAACGAATGGAAAACCTGTCATAGTCTCATATGGAACACTTTCTAATAATATTTTTTCTGCAGGTTTTTGCCAAACTCGGAAGTTAGCTGCCATTGTATCAAATTTCACCCGCTTCACATATACTCTATTGTGTTCATCAAGTAAATCTCGTCGACTAATAGGTTCTTTAAACATAGTATCCGAATCCATATGAATAAAAAAATCAGCATCGCTGTATTGATATGCATGAAATTTGACATACATTTGAGAGTAATAACTACCGTTATTAGGACCATTCTTAATATAAACATCGTTGCTTTGTATTAATTTTATAGGTAAAGAAAAGAACGGTAAATATGATTGAAAATAAGAGGTTTCAGTGAACGGAAACGTTATTATTATATTACGATAGAGTGTACGTGGTACATATTTTTCAATTGAACGTAGTAGATATATCAACCAATGACCATCACCACGCCAAGTGCGAACAAAAATATCTAATACAGGTGGATCACGAGGAGACCATGATACTTGTAGTCTATCATTCGTATTATTACTTGTTGTAAAAGTTATGTTGGAAATAGTTGATATCGGCATAAAAATTTGTGACTTAGATTCTGTATACTGCCTCACCAATACATATGCAATACACGATAGAATAATAATAGCAAATAGCAGCATCCATTTTAAATTCATTGAAGATTTCATAGTAAATAAAAACGAGAGATTGAATGAAAAATAAACATGAATAACTGGAGCTTTGACGAGACGACGGTCTTAAAATAGCTCAATAGTGGGAGAAAAAAGGAGAAAATTACCCTTCATATTTGTTTTTCCTTGTGAAAATTCGGCAATTACATGAGTAGAACTGAATCGAAAAAAGAAAATCCCAATAAAGTAAATTGTTCGATTTTACGGCGACGACGATAATAAAAACACGTGTGATCATAGAACGCAGTAAAAAAGTGTTAAAGTGTAATTATTAATTTATTTTTCTCTGTAGAATATTTCAATGACTATCCGAATAACTAATCATATAAATTAGAGAAAAAAAACTTGCCTTCACTTTATTTCTCATCAAATATTCAACAATTAGAAGCAAAACTAAATCGAGATAAAGATAATAAAAACTAGCTTCTTTAACTTTTCTCATGCAACAAAGGAATTGGTCCCTAAGTGAAGCTAGTGAAGAAGAACATCCAACCTACTTTTCTCATTTTAATGCTCATTTCAAGCCGCCAGAGTTACCAGAACAATCAAATCAATGAACAGGAAAACACAAAAAAACTTCATATACATGTATATTTCTTTTTTCTTTCATAAAATAAGAAAAAAACGATGAGAATAGCAATTACAGAAGAAAGAACAAGTAATCAAACTGACGCAACAAGACTTGTTTCCTATAGAAAGCGGTTATGAACTCGTGACAAAATTCGAATACTCTCTGGCACTCAACTACTTTTCCATGCTTCCCATTCAGATACAATGACTGTTCTCATATTTTATACCATGAGATGTCTAGTTCAACTTCGAATATAAATCGATATCTGAATAACCATTTACAATTCGAAAATAAACGACAAAAATCGCGACCCTTTGAAAATCGTCCCAAAGCAAAAGCAAAAGATCGTCAAACTGGCAGCCATTTATATTTCAGGATAAGGATAAAGATTTAATTTTTATAATTTATAAAATAGAGATCGCTTCAATTTATAATTTTGTAATAGATTTAGACTAAGTTATTATAAATTATAAAATTTGTAAATTAGCTGAATCGTTAGTGAGTTCTTTTTAATGCCGTATTCGCATACGTATTTTATGTTTAGTCCAGAATCCGAATATGGACACGAAAGTCGAGTGATAATGTCTCTGCAACTAATCTTGCATTCGATATGAGATACGTTTCCTCAGTTACGGTTTGCTGTTAATGTCAAAATGTATCTTTTTTCATATGTCAGCTGCATGATGTTAGTGCATTTCTTTATCGGGCTTCGAGTCTATGGGCTTTTCGATTTCAAACTGAATTCTCAAGAAAGAAAAGGGTGTGAGTGTGAGGAAAAGCGCACATACGCGAGCTTACACGCATACACAACACGACAAGTGTGGCCGTGAGGAAAGGCGGTCATATGCGTCTACACACACACACACACGCACAAGTCAATTTATAACTTTTATAAATCATAAAAACTAAATCTTTATCCTTATCCTGAATTGTAAATGGGAGCGAAGTCAATTTATAACTTTTATAAATCATAAACAGCAGTGTCCAAGGACTGAGAAATAGGAATGCCTAATGTGCCGATGAACTGTCAGTGTCGCTCTGATAATTCCTAAAGGAAATGGGAATCAACTATAGGTTCTCTCACAGTTCCACTATTCACGAAAATCGCGATATTGCTGTTTTAAAAAAAGGTTTTGCATGAAATCATCGATTTTCACAATTTTGCAAGTGAAAATGGGTGTAAGAACAAAAATTATCGTGAATATTCCATATTTTTACCTTTAGTATGCAAGGAACTGAAGGGGAACTGATGAGGAATTATTAATCATCAGTCCTTGGACACCGCTCAAAATTTTAAGAAACAGCTAAACGTGTTAAATTGAGAATAAGTTTTTATACCTTTTGAAATATAATAAATCTTTTCGAAATAAAGGCTTCTTTTGCACGCGTTTTGCTAATAGTCTGATGGATTCTCTATTAATTCATTAATTTTCAGCTACTTTGAATAGAATATGATCGATTTCTAGAGGGACTGTAACGAACGAAGAGACAACCAATTTAACATATGAATATCTATAAGGAAGGCAAAAGAATAAATATTTACTGCGAAACATCTTCGAAATAATATTATCGATCTACAAAGGTTTGTTTGTTTTGCTTTAGTAATCCCAAACATCTGGGATAAATTACCAATAATAAACACGAAAAGAAAAACCCAATATAGAAAACTAACTTGAACCTATATTAATATATATATATATATATATATATATATATACCGTATATGAAACAATTGATTTTTCTTCCTCGTCATCAATTACCACACAGCACAAAGAAAAATATGTATTTTCATCGTGGATTTGACTTACTTATATTGAAGAACAATGTACAACAAAAAATAATAATAAAAGAATCGGACGATGTTCTCTAAAACTTCAAACAATTGCAATTGAGTACTATATTTTGACAACATAAAATCGAAGTTAGCATGATTGAACAAGTATTCAGCAAACATTTTACGAGGTTTTATTTTAGCATTTATCAGTAGTTTTTTTCCAACTTATTTGAAGTATTTTTATGCATCATAAAACTTGCACAATAATTAGCTACATTTCGAAGAATGAAAGTTTTTAAAAAGTTATGAAAAAGACAAACAGATTTTATTATGGATAATAATATTTTGTTGAGCCGAAAGAAAATGGAATCAACCATGAAAATATTCAGGATGTAAAGGAACTATCAATTTATTTGATCTGAATAGATCACTATCATTCAGTTGACGTTAAGAAAGATATGAATAAAATTTGTTTTTATTGATAATGAACCAAACATAATAACTCACAACGGTAGAATGAGTTTTCGACATAAACCCTTTATTGCAGTAAACAATGCTTCGCATGAATGATGAATCTATTGTTATAAAATCAATTTCTTTCAAATATGAAATTATTAGTAAATTAGTAAATTAAATTTATATGGATCTCAACTGTGATGAAGGTCTCTATAGATTTCATCTAATAGATTATATTTTTTTTAAAGTTACACTAAAATAAAATGATTATTTATTTTCAATGAAAGAAAAAATATTTAGCAATAGTAAACAAATTTGATTACAGCAATTTTTAATAAAAGCACGATTAGCATCATGGTTCCACATGAAAGTATTGACTGTTTCAATCTTGATAGATCATAATGATTTTTAATTGTAACTTGTCTAGCCACTCCGAAGTAAGAAAATAAAAATTTGGTCCATACGAATGAATTTTTCTATTTCATACGGCCTTTGATCTTACGTAAAGGGTCACAATATGATCGGTTGTAAAAGCATAGAATAAAATATAAGGTGCAATCTGTTTCAGTTGTACAACAAAATCAATTACAACCACATGTAAGATTACAAAAAGGTCACTGTATGTCGATTTTACGTAATAGTACAATTCGTTTTTCAACAGTAAATCCTATATATATACTATTGAGCAGTTCTATTGATGCTAGAATTTACAAGTTAGCGAATGATTTTATGCGATTGATTCGTATGATATTAATCTGATGTGTTTTAAGAACTATTTCGATGATAATTATCCGTAAGATCGTAACTGATCAAAATGGAAGAATGTTCTATTTCACCGTTCATGTATCTTGAATGAAATCCCATTTTATTCTAAGTCTTACATATCACTTAGTTATCTGTAGGCTTATACATGGATCTTGTTTTTAATAGAACATCATATTCATTTTCTTAACATTTCTCCTCTTTAGTATACGACGACAGAGAGCGAATGCTAGCATGAAAAAGAAGATCACATTGCAATTTTGTTGAACTACCTTTTATCAAATCGAATTTTTCAGTTGAAGATCTCAATCGTAAGCAATCCTTCTCATGTAGAAACGCTTTTTTGTACCACAATCAAGTCTTTTTATTCTATTAAAATTAAAGATCTTGAAGAAATACTAACATTTGTCTGTATCATAGAATAGATTGACATTATCGTTAATTTATAGTTTGATATTCTATGGAATGTTGCAAAAGATTAATACGATGATATTTAAGGTTTTGTGTACATATATATATATATATTATATACGTAGAATTCAAAAATTATATACAAGTCTGATATCAAAAGGAAAGTTACTACATAGTAAACAATATATTTACTCGAGGATTATTTTCTGTCTTTCAGCCTTAGCTGAAACTATTAATTCAGCAAAGAAAAACTGGCCGAAACAATGCTGTTTATTATGGTATTCTTTGTAGCTTATCATAATAATCAGATTTATTCGTGTATAATAGGAAAATAGAATCTGATTTGTGTCAAATTAGTAGTTAATAGTTTTATTTGTTCTTATTTATTTTATTCATACAGAAAAAGTGCTCGCAATAGTAAAGGGTCGGTTGCGGTATTATAATAGTGGAGTGTTGGCTAAGGGGAAAAAGAAATCAATGCTAAAAAATAAAGTTAAAAAAATAATACAAGTAAAAAAGAAATTATATAAACAAAACAACCAAATTTGTTCGCACCTATTATTTGTTTTAACTAAAGACTGAAAACAAAATAGTTTCTAAAGTCATTTCATTTGTTATTCAATGAATGAATAAGCCTTGTCTCACTGATCTTAAGCGAGCTTATCAAGAGCACCACGTACTTCAATAAAAACATCATCCGGTGCCAATTCCGAGTTGACCTAAAAAATAACAATACTGAGAATAAATAATAATAATCAAGTACATACCTCAGCTAATTTGCCTTGTTTTTCATATAAATCCAAAACAGGAAAGGTCTGATCGTGAAATGTTTTCAAGCGATTTTTAATTGTTTCTTCGTTATCATCAACTCGACCAGATGTTTGACCGCGATGTAATAATCGTTTTGTCATAGTGGCATCACTCGCTTTTACATAAAGAACAAGATTGCATACAGCAATCTAGAATAGAAAAATAAAAATTCATTATAAATTATTGGAAAATTGCAATATTTATAGCGAACCATTTCTTCGAATTTTTTTGCTTGTGGAACTTCACGTGGATATCCATCAATGAGAAAACCTTTCGATCCATCTGCTTTTGCAATCATATTATCTCTGAGTAACTCGAGAACAACTTCCTGAAGAAAATGAAAATACATTGTTATTGTTTTTTTCTGTTTTCGATAATAATTCTTGATAAAAATTAGAATACCATTGGCACTAATTTTCCTTCTTTCATTAAGGCATTTAATTGTTCGCCTCGTTCAGATTTTGATTGGACAGCTTCACGAAGAAGATCTCTATAGAGACAAAAACAAATTTAGTCTAAAAATATTCTTACTAATATTCATTTATTTATTCTTACCCAGTACTTAAATGTGTGAAACCATATTGTTGAACAATTCGTTCACATTGTGTACCCTTTCCTGATCCTAGTATAATCAAAAAATTTACATTAATGAATGTAAAAAAATAAAATGAAATAAATATTACCTGGTCCACCAACAACAAAGATAATTTTTTTATTTTTCAATTTGTCTAATGCAGGTTTGGGCTCAAGAACTAAGAAAGAAAAAAAGCAATAAAATTATCAATCATAATTCAAGGTCTTCAATTGTTAAGGGGTGTCAATATTGTATACAGGCTGGATAGATTAATTAAATCATTGTGAATGGGATATCTTGGGAAATTAGTATTTATTCTTACCTTGTGTCATTTTTTTTTGTTATATATAATGCTTCTGTATTTTTGTGCAAACTAATGTCGTATCTCTCAAAAGCAACTATTAACGCAATGAGAAGACAAACAACAAGACAAAAAGATCAGTTATATGAGAATTTGGTGCTATCGAAAACAGGGGGAGGAGAAAAAAAGAGGAAGATAAGCGATGGTAGAGGAAACGAGAAGAGAAGAAAAAAAATAAGTAAGACAAAGATGCTTCCTAAACAATGTTGTTGTGGCAAACGAAGAAGAAACTAACATAACCATAAATGTACAAACCGTTTCTTCGTCAATCTCCCAAGATATAACCTTTCAAGCACAAACTTGGTGTTTTGTTTTTCTGATCAGAGAAAAAAACAAAACAGAAAGCTAAGAGTACCAAACATCGATGTCAGACCGACTTAGCGGTTTTTCTCTACGATTCTAAGCGCAAATGTATAAGCATGCATTGACGAGAAAACGATTACTCGTCTTGATTTGTATCATAGTAAATTCTTAGAACGTAAAAGTGAACGATGGTTATTATTAGTTTTTTTTTAATCGAAAACGTGCTTTTTGATTACTGAACGGTGAAAAAAATTGAGAACGATGCACATATATATCTTTACTTGATGTAGTATCGTTACTATCACTCTGAAAAATATAAAGTTTTGATTTTTTTCCGTTAGATTTGCAGTTTCACATACGAAAACATATATATATAAGATAAAAAACAAGATTCTTATTGTTTACCTACTTGCTTTTGGTCCACTAAATCAACCAGCGCATGTGTTACATCAACGAAAACTTCGTCGGGTTTTCGATTAGCATCAATAGTTATTAATTTTCCTTGTTTACCATAATAGCCCAAAATAGGTGTTGTTTGTTCATGAAATGTAACTAATCGTTTAGCAATCGTTTCTTGATTATCATCAATTCGACCACTTGTTTCACCACGTTTTGTTAATCGTTCAATCATTATTTCATCGGGTACATCAAAATAAATTAAAACATCACATGGAGCAACTTCCTTTTCAAATTGCACGCCTATTAAATATAAAATAAAAATCGATTTGATTAAAATTATTAACAAAAACAAACAGTAATCAAAAGTGAGCAATTTAAGATACAGGAGAAATCAATCAAAAACTTACTAGATTTTATTAGACTACTGTAATGAAAATAATCATAAAGTTGATGTGTTAATATATAGTGAGTAAAGAAGAAAAGAAAAAGCTGTGTATTTATTAGTTACCTTGGTCAACACGACGCGGAAATCCGTCGATTAAAAATCCTGAAGCTTCGTTGGCTTTTTCATGAATAGCATCTTTCAATAAGCCAAGAATATCTTCCTGTAAAGAAGAAAATTCAAGAGTACATTGATTGATACTTTTTCTGTTTTTATAAAAAATTAATCTTCTGTTTTTTATATTTTTAACAATACCGTTGAGATGAGTTTTCCTTGTGTCATAGCGTCATTAAAATAACGACCTTTCTCAGTTACTGAATCTTGACAAGCCGCTCGGATTAAATCACCAGCAGATAAATGTGTAAAACCATATCTTTCAATCATTTTTTCACACTGTGTGCCTTTACCACTACCTTCAATCATGATAATATTTATTTCTATAATATTTTAAATAGTTATGTTCTTACCTGGCCCACCGCCGACAAAAATAATTGGTTTGCCTTTAAGTAACTCTTTCATATCGGTTGCTTGATTTTTAACATGTTCTACATGATTTGTCGTTCGTTGTGGTTGATCTTCAATTTTAGACGGTTCATCTCGTTTTCCTGATGGTATAGCATCGAGTTTTGGTGGACGCGCCAAATCCGTATGTAAAGAAGAAGGTAGCGATGTAGCATTTGCATTCGTAGTTTTTTTTAGCGGAAGCAGTACATTGTTCATGCCACCTTTTCGTCCAATAAATGAATCCCATTTCAATTGTTGATTTCCATCTTTATACTATCATAGAAAAAATAAATTATTTGATATATATTTGTTAAAACAACTAAGAAAACCTACACGGGTTAAAGATTCAATAATGAAATCAACATGATCTTCTGGTTTATGAACCATAAGACCAGTAATTAATGCCTTGGAAAAAAAATTAAAAGTATATTTGTATTTTACATTGACAATAGTTTACTTCGAATAGTTGAGGAATTTTCCGTTTAGCAATATAATCTTTTGCTAATTCCGTATTGGCATTTGTATTCATTTGATTCATTATTGAAAGACAATATTCAAACTTTGTGATAGAATACAAAAGTTCAAATCTACAAATAAAACGATACTAATATTGACATTGACATTGTTTATTTTTTTTCTGTTATTTTTTTGCATTTTGTTGTTTTTTATGCGTTTTTTTATGACACTGACGACAGACTAGACGAATAAATAAATGAATATATATTTACATCTATTCTTCGCATAGTAATAGTGCGGAGAGGACGATGGCGGAAAAAAAAATGACAGTCAGAGGAAGAAAAGAGGAAAACGCATCCGATCACCAATAATGCTGTTCCTTCTTCAATAGACGTATAGGCTTTTGAGGCACAAAAAAAATATGAGACTAGGGTGATGAAAGAAAGAATACATGAGAATGAAAGCAACAACGAAGGGGAAAGAGGTCTGACCCCGCTATATTGCACATAAAATATTACGAGAAAACTAGATGTAAAAAAAGGTCACAAAAAAGCATAAAACATAAATTCAGTAAAAATAAATATTTGCTTTCAAATACGCTCGAGTACATCTTTCTTGAGGTCTTCATAAATCTCATCGACTTCCATCCGACAATCGATCTGAAATAAATGAACAAGCAGAAACACATAAAATTACTATGATTAATCGTCTTCGTTTAAATAAAGTTCATTTTCATTTACACCATTGAAACTATAAGAGGATTTATCTTACATGAATGAGTATGATATTTCATTCGGCATCTACTTTTTTATCATAATCTTACATGACTGTTGTCAACATCTACATAAGAAAAATGTTGTCGCTAGAAAAAGAGAAGGGTATTTTTTTCTTCTGCGATTATTTACGTTACTTTGATCGTGCCTTGGCGAATTCTCCAAGGGCTTTCATTGTAGTAAATTACTCTATATTTTATATTTTGAAAAAAGTACGACAAGATGCAGCATATGGCAAGCTCGATTTTTTTGAGTTAGGTTTTGTCAACTAACTACACATAAAAAATAACGTTTTTAGTGGTTGGAGCGACATTTTTTCAAGAGGTCTTCATAGCACGGAACTTGTTGTTGCTTTTCTCCGTTAGAGAAAAACAACGAATAATAACCAGGGTATAGCTATAATATGTACAATGAGAATTGAGATAATTTTAGATTGCTAATTGAACTATTTTTAACAGCTGTTGTGAACAATATTTCTATTAATCGTTTCAGTCTAGAGCTAAAAAAAATTCATCATAGGGACCCAATTTCATTAATATCATACTCTCGCAATTTAATTGTATCTACACACGAAATTAGGGTAAAATCTCAACGGAGTAGACTTTGAACAAGTGATTTAGCTTACATAAATAGCTTTATTTTCTTTTTTAAATGTTTCAACAATAATATTGGAGTCACCATATTTTATTTCAGTTGGATAGTCACCAATATAAATTAATGCTGAACAAGGACCAATCTTGAATAAAAGAAAAGAAAGAAAAATGTTTTTTTTTTATGAAGGTTGATAATAAATTGAAAATAAAAGGGGCTAGGTTTACTTCGGTTTGAAATCTTTGAAGCTCATCAAATGAAGTTGGAAAATGTTCAATAATATAGCCAGTACATGTACTCATTGATTCAATAATTGTTGATTTTAATTCATCAAAATTAAGTATAACATTGTTATAATCTCCAACATGAATATGTTTAAATGAAAATTGTTCAGCTAAACGTTCACATAATGTGTAAATAAACGAATTATTACTTTCAACTTCGCTTTCTTCATCATTAATATCGAACTCATCATTAATTGATAAACGTTGAACAGCTTTATTGTCACTATTATTACTAATATGATTTTCTTTAATCAATAACCGATGGATATCAATACAAAATATGATTGGTAAAGTAAACTGATTTGCTGTTGGTGCAATTGAATGGGAATGTTGATTCTCTTGTATCTACATGAAAATATTAATAAACTGTTTATAATGATTTGTTTTCCCAAATAATATTTACGTGATGAGGAAATATTTCATCCAGAGCGCGAATGGCATCTGCAAGTATTATGCCGAAATCAATATTTGAATCGATCTAAAATAATTTTTTTCCCGATTATTATTCAATATTATGAGTTGTTTTACTTGAATAATATTTGTATTTGAATGAGAAATTGCTTGTCGATCAGGCGATAACACAATTATTAAATCAATACGTCGAAGCTATTTTGAAATTTATTTTTGGAAACATAAGTTGAACGAAATTAAACAAAGGTTTTACTTTCTCCTGCCATTTCTCGTGAAAATTTATTTCATCAACATTACCAGCTATAAAGAAACCATTCGTATGTGAACGACGTTTGTCGATCGCATTTTTAACACTATCATATCTGTACTCATGATTTTTAAGATCTATACATAAATTAAGAAATCATTTTTGTTTTTGACTACAAAAAAATAAGAAGAATATTGTTTTTACCGATGGGGTAATTTTCATCGATGTTTGCAATATCATTAATCAATAAATAAGTTATTCTGTCGTAGCGTTCGATTAATCTTGAGCATAGTTTTGTTGAGCTATGTGAACCTAGAAGGAATATGAAGAAAATAATAAATGTATAGACACTTTATTTTTAGAATCGAGAGAAAATTTACTAAGAATAAGAATAATAGGTAGATTCTCTGAAGATTTTTTGCTATTATCAATCGGCGGTAAGGGTGGTGTTTTGACTGATGTTTGACGAGTTGTTGAATGACTTGTTCGTGTTATTGAGTTTGAGCTTCGAACAGGGGGTAATAATATTTGTCGATTTTTAGTATTTGCTGGTTTTGATGGTAGGACACTTTTTAAATTACTCGAACATGTCACAAAATGGTCCCATCGAAGATGATTTGAATTGTTTTGCACCTAGAATTTATTGTTAAGAATAGAACGAATCATTGTTGGAGGAAAATTAAACTAAAAACCTTGTCTAAACATTCACGAATAAAAGCAATATGATCATCAGGTTTATGTACCACCAACGCTGTCATGATGGCCTACAGTAAAACAATTAGAAAGCACATGCATTATTTGATGTTTTTTGTTTTTCGTTGAAATACTCTACTTCAAATAATTCATGAATTCCTTTTTTATGCATATAATTAGAAGCATATTGATTGTTGTAAAGTCCATGAGATCTTGTTGCCATGATTACTCAGAAATATACAGCGGATAAAATCTTAAAAGATTATTACAATGTTTTTTTTTTCCTAAATTAATGAAGATATTACTGCTTTTTTCAGTATATCTAAAAAAAAGATCATGCCGAAATCAGATTTTTACATCAAAATATAAACTTTGACATGTTCAAAACAAAAGTAAAAGAATATATCACAAATATTTCTTTTAGCACTTAACTAGTTAAAAAACATAGTGAAAGAAGAAAAGAAAATGTGTTAAATAACGGTCTGTTTAATTATTTATTACTTTCATGCATCTCAATAAAAGTATCCCACTGCACTGACAACGGTTGTTTTTTCATCTAAATTTAAAAAAATCTATTCTTTCTCTTATCCGAAATAATAGATATTCAACAAACTTTTGTTAAACTTTCAATAATAAAGTGGTAATGGTCATCGGGTTCATGATGCATTAAACCAGCCATTAGTGCCTATACATAAATATTTTTTTCTTGTTGATTATTGAAACGAATAAGTCACGCATTGTTACCTCAAATAGAATTGGGATTCGTCGTTCAGATAGGTAAAGTTTTTTTCGTTCACTAACTGAATCTTCATTTGTTTTTAATGATGAGGATGACATCTGAAAATAATATTTCAAAAATGTGATTAAGACAAGCAAAAGAAAAAGAAAAATATTAGTGTGATCACAAATTTCAGGACCAGAAGACAAAGAAAAAGTAAAATTTTACAATTGACCTAAGGCATATCTATGTTAAATGGATATACATCACTGGAAAGCAATAAAAAATAATTCTTATTGTGACGTTTTTAAACACTGGTTGTTTCGTTCGGTTTCGTTAACACAGATGCGCCTTTTATTGGTGAAGAGATGGCTGTTTGATGAAGTTGAAGATTTTCAAGAATAAAATTTCGCTTTTTCGCTGCTGCTCGTCGATTCGCTAGTTCATCACTATTAACAGAAGGTAAACTTGAACGATTTTTTGGTGGTTCATAAGTAGGCAGTACACCACGAACAGTATATTTCCATTGATGATCTGTTGCCTAATAATTAGAAATCATTTTTTTATGAAATTTTAGAAAAACCTATTGTAACATCGAATGACACTGATACATACACATACACTCTGAAATACGATTGACTGCTATTATGATTGTTATCTTACAAGAAAACTATTCAAGTTATCAATTTTTGTTTTACTCATACAAATTTCCTTCCATCAGGTCTACGACTTTGTGTCAGAAGAGTTGTAAGCGCTTTATTAAGATTGAGATTTATAGCAGATATTTTAACAAAGATTTTATTTTTCTAGAGCTTATACTAAAGATCGTTACTTGAAAAGTAAGCAGTTCAATTAGTAAATATTTGCTTTGAATAGAAACATTCAACGCTCTAATACTTATTAAATTTATTTATAGAAGAAAACTCGAGTCTATCAAGCACTAAAACGATCATATCTTTTTTACGAATAAACTATTGAATCTCCTCTATTAAAATTTTGTTTTATGTCAAGCTATTCAACCGAATAAATTATCAATGAATTTGATAATTGATACTTTCATTTAACTATTTCGCATTGAAAAATAAAATCAACTTGTCTACATACATTGATAATTAACATTCCATGAGATGTTCGCCCATAAACAGTTGGACAAAATAATACTTTTAATAGAGTACCATTTAAACTTGCTGGTAATAATTCGCCACTGTCTGGTGTTACAGCAAATGCTCGATCACTATTCGATGTAAAATAAGCTTCAAATGAAATTGGAGAACTATAGAGCAAAAAAATTGAAGACGTTTTTATTGACTCTTAAAAGACTTTTAATAACATACTCCGATGGACTATATAAACGAAAACCAATAGTAGATATTTTATTAAGACCAACAGCTTCAAGCACAATATCGTCATCGGGTGGTGCCTCGAGTTTAGTAAATCTTAATGGATATTTTAATTGACCACCAGTCGCAAGCGTTAAAACAAGTACACAATCCATACTAGAAATTGAAGAAAGAAAAAAGCAAACGTTGTAATCATTTTTTCTTTTCACAGAAAACTGAAGCTTTACGTCATGAATTTTGATGGGGTATAAACAATATTGAAACGAGCAATATCAGTTTTATCATTGTCGCGTTTAAGAAGTTGAATGCCAACTGAATTTTGAATGAATTCTTGATTAGACATATGTTCATTCATAACTGTATAATCTTCAATAGCAGTTGGACTTTTTTTCACTAAAACGCAAAGAAAAAAAGACAATGAAGTAAGATATTATTTTTTTGTTCTTACTATTTAAAGTTCGACTGTCAAAACGAAATAATTGTCGATTTAATTCAAATTCAAGTTGTTGTTCAATTCGTTCACCAGCTATACATTCAATTACTTTCAATTGCGTTTCGTCTTCACCTTGTTGATGAATCCAATTGAAAGCAATGCCTTGCAAAGGATACGTCCATGAAAGTTCGGATGCATCAGCACTTGAAAAACAAATAAAGAGATTTATTATTTTCTTCTTAAAGAGAGAAAAATTTATTTTTACTTGTCTGGAGACCACGTTTTTCCTTCTGGTAATCGACCGATAATCCGTAATTGTGTTTCTTGTCGAGATAAAGTTTCAGGACAAAAAGCAATTGGAATGTTAAATTTTTCTCGTGCACCGATTGATACATTTTCAGTTTTATCAAGTAAAATACGAAATGAAGTATTGAATCCTATCAGACAAGCGAAAAGAATTAATTTTATTTTGTACAAAGACATGATTTTATTTTATTTTTGATTTTCTTTACCTGACGTAAGTGACAGATCACATCGAATAGGATGATTCGATGGATTTTGAAAATCAATTGTTGCTGTTGAACTAACGCCAGTTTCACTTTTTAAAATAATAGGATGTTGTTGCTTTTGAGGTTTTGTGCCAACACCTTTAACAGAATATTTCAAGGTGCCAAGCTAAAATGAAAATAAGAATATTATTCAGATGCATAAACTAATCAATTTCAAGCCAGCAAAAATTTATAAAAAGAAGTAATAATAAGAAACAATAAAAGTAAATTATCCGTTGAGAACTTGTTTCTTCTATCATTTTACTTCAGAGGATAAAGCATTAAGGTGTGATAGCATTGAGATAACTATATATATATACATATGTCGTGAAATGTAATCTGGACAAAAAAACTACTAGTAAACGATTGTAGTGTCAATATGTGTAACATGAAATGATTTCCTATTCTACTATTTTAGTGTATCCTGGCAAACGTTATGCGAAGAACTAACATAGATTTCACTCCTATCTAGGTTTGTAACAACTTCCATTTATACCAATCTGCTCTTTTCCTTTCAACGAGACCTAGAAATTGGTTCATTTTTTTTCAAAATTGGGTTCTTTCATAGTAGTGCTCGAGCAATAGGAAATTTCATGAATAGATAAAAAAAAGAAAAAGAAAAAGAGATAAGTAGTAGTAGTACAAATTCATTTCAAAGCAGCTATTATAGAGCTCGTAAGACTGAAGCTATAGCGGTACAATTATAAGTGTATTCCTGTCGTATCGCACAAAAAGAATATGTGAAGCAGAAGAACAAAATTAATGATCAAGATACGAATATGAAGATTTGAGTGCGCTGAAAGATCTAAGCATCCTCACCCTTAATACGTGTCAAGCATTAATGATGACAAAGCATAGTATGTAAAAATTTCTGTATTAAAATTAGATCAAATATAGAATTATTTTCTCTATGATGCATAATTCTGATTTCTATATTATTAGAATAGTCTCTCTGTTAAATGTAGAATTTATTTTATGACTCATCGAAAATAAAATTATCTTTTATCTCAAGAAAATTTGAACAATTTTTAGATAAAATTGCATTGTTCAACGATGTAAAGAACGCATTAAATTGAAAGAAAGTTCTCTGGAAACAAAATAGCATGCCCGGCCATAAGCGATGATATGCGTAGAGTAGTGCGAGACAAAGCATTATGTTACTTTTTCAGTACTCTGAGGAGAAATTTGAGTTTGTTCAATCTAATATAAGTGCGTTCAAATATATACATGTGACAATCAAATTAGTTTGTTTTTTTCGTTTCTTCATATATACAAACCTTATCATTAACAAAAGAAATTTTCGATTGTTGTTTTTGTTCATTTCCATTTCCAATTGATGATGGATTAAATATAACATTGATTTTGGCTTGACTTCTTGGGTGAACTGTTATTGTATCTTGATCGCCATTGATTGAAAAATTATTGTTATTTGATAATATTGTTTGAAAGGTAACTTGTTCATCAAGTGGATTTTCAATCGTTATTTCTTGTGTAGAAGTTCTTTAAATAAAACAAAGCAATGATTTTATCAGTTTCAATTCATGATTTATATAAATAGTGACTTCAAAAAGTGATCAAAGAGATTTTATTGCTATATTTCTTTGGTATTAGTAACTGGTATAAAAAAAATAAAGTTCAACAGTGATTTAAATCGTAAAAATTATTTCTAATAACGGTTTTAATTAAATAAATATGTTGAAAATATTCTCAGTTCTAAATTTCTACTAAATTTCCAGTGTTTCAAATCAAACAAAATCTTGTTTAAATATCATAGAATGATAGAGCGACTGATTCTATAGAGAATGAGATCTAGTCGAGCTCAATATGATATTTAGTTGTGAAATTACATCGATTTCAATAGACGGCTCGAGGCTTTGACTTAGGAAATGACTATTTTTCGACTTGTCTTAATATCGATACATTTATCTTGTGTGAAACGCGTAAAGAACTCATATTGTGAAGAATCAATTCATTCATCGTCCTGCGGAATACACATAAAAGCTTTGATTTTCCTATAGTGTGTTCCAAAAATTCTATGAATATTTTATTTTAATATATGATGAACTATTTGAAGTTTGCGTGTTCATTATGATAGCGGGAAACAAATCTTATGATCATTTATTGAAAGTAATTTATAAATAAACTATATCTTACCCCCCCAGTGGAGCCGACATTGATGGTAAATCCACTCGTTGTGGATTTGTACTAAGTAAATTAAGTTCATACCAAAATTCACCAATTTCATCATTATAAAAAACAAGACTAAATAAACAAAAATAAGTTTTAGACATTCAAACATGTTTTTCATATGATGCATCAATTAAAAAAGTAAACATCATTACAGCCGCTAAAGAAGTTCATTACTCTCGTTTTCTTTTGATATATGTGACAGAATTCATTCTAACCGCAGACATCATCTCGAGATGTCTGTAGAGATAAAAATATATTAATTAGGAATAAATAACTGGATAATCTTTTGCAAGACTGAATTTCAACGTCTTATTTTTTAACAGCTTTGGTTCTTACCCTCCATTCCAATTTCCAACAGTTTTCGGTTTGAATATAAGCTCATAACGATCTTCACCATTTGCTTCGAATTCAATAGAATCTTTACCCTTAAACATAAGTATTTCAGTATATATATATATATATATATATATATAGGAAGAAAAACGAAATGTGCAATTAAATCTTACAAAAACATCCTGCAATGTTTGAAAATCAACATCTAGTCGTATTGGATGATCAAGTGGATTTTTTAATGGAATAATTAATGAATTTGTACCCTAAAGTAAATTTTAAAAGAGCCATAGATTAATAAGCTTTTGTGAATTCTTTTTCTACTATGCGACAATATTTCTTTACTAATAAAGTAACCAACTTCCGAAGCAGACGATTCTAACAATTGTTAAGTTAATGGTTTTCATCACATTGCAATAAATAATATCATGATTTTTCTGTTATATTAACTTTTATATATCTATTTTACAATTATTTTCTGTCAAGATAAATATTCTGACATAATATATACTCATTTTTCTAACGATTACACTTGCATGGAAGATTATTAAAGATATATATAGAATGAAAATCCTCTTAGCCAGCTAAATGGAGAATGATTTACAATAATGAGCAGTCTATAAAGAAATTCGGCCGCACTGACCCTTTTCTATTCGGCATTATTCATCACTTCCGTCGTCACTAGAACGGCGTAGATTTTTCATACGATAGAATAAAGACATATATTGCCACTCACATTGGTGAAACTTTATATCTAGAAATGATGACATACTCAAGTCTAGAAATTTTGCTACGCATGTTTTTCGAAATGGGGAATGCATTTAAGTTAAAACTCAGATCAGAATTTTACTACATAATTTGATAAAAAAAAAAGTAAGTTCTTATCAAGAATTTCATTGAAATTGATGCTCGCTCAATGGTTGTTATCAATTTAAACAAATCGTATTCTAATTTGTGATAACCTTTTTATATTCTTATTAAGATTTTTTATTGTCTTCGCTGAAAATTTACAAAAATCTTCTGAGTTTTTTCTTCAATTCTAAAGAAGCTTTTCAAATCTATAGATTTTCTGCTAAGAGACAAAATAAGGATCCAAACGTATTCGGTTCGTTCCGATTCTTTCTTATAAGTATTCGGATAGATTAAAAAAACAAGTTTTTATGTGTATGACAGTCAATATTGATAGCTTAAAATTTTCTCCGATGATCATAATAAAAGCTTTGATGTGTTCTTTATCAACCGGAATATAATGAGTTGATTTAATTAAAACACCATACAGATATTTGAATTCTTACTTTGCTAAGCGAGAGCGTTCTGTATTTGCCACCGTCATTTTATCTTAGTTTGTCTGTTATTCAAATGATCATCTATCTCATTTGAGATAGATGATATTTAACTATCACAGATTTCATAGAAATATTCGCCATTTCGTTCTTTTGAAATGGACTCAGATAGAAAGTACTGTATAGGAAAACTGTTCTTTTTTAAATATTGTTGTTTTCTAAACAAATATAATAGTTAAATAGACATACTAAACATGGTGCTGATAAATCAACTGTTCTTTGAGCATCCGGTGGTTGAACATTTATCTCAACAGTAAACCAAAGTGAATATTTAAAATCAGTCGGATCCTCTGGTTCAAGTGGTGGAATTTCATCACCATCTGAATCGACGTCTCTATATACAGACAATTGGGTTTTGTTTTAAATAGGTCTCTCTTTTTGTTGAAATAAATGAAACATACTTAATAGGCCATGGCCCTGGCTGAAAAACGACAACACCTTTGTAAGTGCCCCGTTTTGGTGGACAAATTTCAAAGTTATATCGAGCAGATTTTTTAGGTGGAACACAAACATAGGGCGGTCCTTGAACGAATGGTAGATTGCATGTAACAAAATATGCAGTTTTCTTTGATTTTTTATTTGATATATCAATAGAATGAGTTGTTCTATAATAAATAAAAATTAAAAATAATATTAACACTAATCTTACAAGGTAAAAATTTGAAACACGATGCAACTGTTATTGCGAATCAAAGAAAGACAATTTTATTCTATCCATTATAGGCTACATTTTTTCACTAGCCTTTTTCTTAATCCTTCAAAACGTACTATGAATAAATCGGATTCTAAGCCAAGACGCATAGAGCCGCCAAAACTTCTGCAACTTTCTATTTACAAAGTCATAGCACTGTCGATATGAAACAGCATTCTCGAAGATTTCTAACCAGTGTTTGTCAACGTCTTTCAATATCCAAATATTGATTCTTACACTGTATAATATTCATTTTACATCGTGTTTCACAAAAAAAACTAGCAGTTCATTTTTTATGTGAATTTTAACTTACGTTGCACCAACTTTACTTTCCAATTGTAAATGGCCGATCTAAACAAGAAAACAATGTTTTTCTTTTCTCTCTGTTATATTATACACAAAACAAATAAACGTACAGGTGGTCCACGATCCGATTTACCACGTAGATTATATGCTTGTGTAAAACCAGTATCGGCGTTGCTAATTATCATTTGTGCATGAAATTTATCGTCTTCAACTTGTGGATGAAATGTTAATGGATATTGATAGACAGATTTAGCTTCAACATGAAATGTTTTTGGACCAGAAAATGATTTATTACCCGAAAATACGACTGTCATATTCCAATCGTCTTCAGTTGAATTAGCCTAAAACCAAACAGAGTGATGTAGTTTGTTTTATTCCAATCAAAAATTAAATATAAACATACAATTGGAATATTTTGTTGTACAGGTGTAAATACACTTGTTCTCATTTGTAATGTAGCTGTTTGCTTTTCATTATCAGTTTGTGTAATACAATGTATTTCAATGTCAAAATCACGTATATCATCACCACAGGTTAAAGAAACTTTTGTTGAATAAAGACCTGGTTTATCAGCTTGAAAACGTATTGGTAATTTAACTAATAGCTCTTCGAGTGGCAATGATAAACTCGTTGGAATAATAAAGTTATTTGTTGTTGACGACGATTGAACTTTAAACTCGGGTAAACGTGAATATGGATGAAAAGGTTTTTTTGAAGAATCCGGCAATTGATTTGTTAAACCAAGTAATGTTTGCTTTTGCCGTTCACGTTCTGACATACCCTTTAATGTGAATGCGAAAAGAAAGTTATATTAAATAAGTAGGTTAATGAAACTTTTTTCCTTTCATACCTGCCATCGAACAGCAACTAGAGCATTTTGTCGTTGACTATTTTGTACGGGAATATCAATATCAAATACATTTGATATGCCAACTACAGCTTTGAAACGTAGCTTTTCTACTTTGACTAAAAGCAAAATCATGAAAAAATCTTTTCCAAATCTTTTATCCATGAAAATAATATCTTAGAATACTGATTCTATTTTAATTAAGAAATAAGAAAACGGTCTCAAGATTAAGCGTGAATTATAAGATCTTGAATAGTCTTGTAATGCTTGCTCTTATTAAATTATATCAAAGATATTTCTTTAGATGATTCTAAATTAATCGACTATTCTAAAGTTGTAACCGTAACTGAGTTGTTCAATATATAGGATTGTTTCTATTCATATATGTAGATCGTTTTAATCTTTTGAAAGATCTTATAGAACTTCACTGATCATCGTGTAAAATACGATACGAACGCTTCTTCGATTTCTATATATCTGTTTTTGATTCGTCGAAAACATAAGGATCTATTTATTAAATGTGCTCAATCAACAAAAATTTATTCTTTTGACCTTTATCGTTCGATTTTCTTACCGGAAAACCAAAAGTCAAAACCTAATCTTTATTACAAAATGCTTGAAATAGTGAAAATTTTTCCAAACATTTATTTGTAGTTAACTGCATCCTACTGTAGTCTCATTTTCATGAGCCTCTTTCAAGAATGGCCGTCAAATTTTTCTTTTTTTTTGATATTTTATACTGCTCAAAAGGTTGATTATCACTAATATTTTCGACTGACAACGACATAATCGAATGCATGCGTTGTTTACCGATGAAAGAGAAAAGGGAAGAGAGTCTTCAATAATTCATTCCTTACTTTTCTTCTGATCAATTTTCATTGCTTTGTCACTGGATACAGGAAATGCTCTATGACGAAGAGAGAACATGACATGTATACATAGAATATAAATATTTTATAAATTATATATACTCAGGTTTCTTTGGAACACCTTCGATCAGGAAAAGAAATTCTCCTATTGTTTCATTCATAAAAACAAGTAATGCTTCCCGGCGTTTAGCTGTTGTTGCAATATATTGAACGTCGAAATTTTTTGTTTCATGTGCTTTTAATTCAACTGATGTATGCTCAATAAAAAAACAATCAGCTTCATTGCTTTGATTGGATCTTTTTTTATTTTTCTTTAAAATTTGAAATAATTCTTCCACTGAATCATTTTTATTTCTAGCAAGAGAGAATAAAAATATTCATTTCATTCAGAAGAATAAAATTATCTATATTCACTCGTCATTTAATGCAACCAATGGATTTCTCATTTCTTGTGTGCTTTCCGATGAATTAACAATAGCGACTTGAAACATACCATGTTGATCAAATGGATTTGTTATTTCAATTGTTGATTTTGTTATTTTATAAAGTGGTGCTTCTATGCGATGAGTTTTCTAGTAAAAACAAAAAATAAAGCTAGGCACAATACGAACAAACATGATTAAAGAGAGGTTATCCACAATAATTAAAATTAACAACAATCACACAAATATTACAGGTAAAATAACAAAATACAAAGAATCGTATTTTTACCTTTGTCGAATAAACACACTAATAGAAGAAGAATAATAATAGAAAACAAATGTTCTCATTGACATGCACATAAATATGATCAGTGAAAAAGAATATATTTCTTTCTTTTTCTTCTTCCTCTTTCTTATTTCATATCTTACCTTGGGTGTAATTGTTTGAATTGAACTTTGTAGATAGAAGACCATAGCTGAGCCTGGATAAGTACTTGTTCGTTTTCCATATAATAATAGAACAGCTTCAGTTGGTCGAAGACGTTTATTTTTCGATTGAATATTCACTAACAATGATGTTTTAGCTGGTATACTTAATGTTGCACCTTTAACAAGTTGAAATTCATCAGCATCCCGACCAACAATACTCATCGAATAGACTAATGTTTGTGTACTTGGATTTGTTATTTTAACTTGTGATGTTGATGGTTCATGTAAAACTCCACCAAATTGTATTCTACCTTTCGATAAGTAATCCGGCAAATGCTCATATAAATAGCAGACAAGTAAACACATGCATATGGGATCAGCACGGGTTATATCTAATGCTTGAAGGTCATATTCAATACCAATTTGTAGCAGACAAGAAACAATGATGAGTGCATTTTGTAAATATTGTTCACCAGTTGTTGGATGAACATACATACGTTGAAGATGGGATTCAATCTAATAAAAGTCATTTTTTTTCTATTGGAAAGTTTTTTTCAATAAGTTCTACGTACTAAAAATGGACAATAGGCACCTAGAACTGTACCAAGTACAATACTATCAACAAGATCAATATCAAAATTGACAATCCATCGCCCAGATGGCATGTTAGCTAGAATTAAAATTAGAATAATTTTCCTTAATCAATTATAATACTATTAGTTCTATTATAAATAAACCCCTACACAGAATAGAAGCCCACCCCCTGAGTTAGATTTCTCCGTTGAACATCAAGGTTTACTTCATGTAGAATGAACTAAAACCGATGAAAAAATGAAAATATGAACATTTCTCTATCAAATAACGCAAAAGCTGGCATCAGGGCGTGCTTTCTTACAAAATTATGGCTTGCGGAACAGAGACACCACCCATGGGCTTCTATTCTGTAGGGGGGTTTAGGATTATATCAAGGTCATCAAAATTGAGAAAATTTGAAGGCTCAAAAATTTGATTTAACGCGTGGTAGCATTTTTTTGAATGAAGATCGAAAATTTCTTAATCGCAGATTGAAATCGTATCTCTCTCTGAGTCAATCATTGTTCTTTTCTTTTGTCTGCTAAATTTCTATTTTCTACGTGAAAAATTGCCTAGAAACCAGCATCACTCGAACATATATTCGATACTAATATTAGACAATAGAATATTCTTTACATTGTTCACGATGTGACCAAACTTGTTCACGATAATTTGAATAACAATAATTAAGCCATGTTAATAAAATTCGTTCACTAATACCATAAATATTACTTGATGTTGGATCAGTATTTATGTCTGGCATAAGTTTATTTCGATCGGGTATTCCTAATTGTTCATATGACTTGGGTGTGATACGACCAAGTACAAGACTCTGCAAATGTAAAAACAAAAATAATTTTTTTTGAAATCAAAATTAAAAAGAAATTACTTTAATTGTCTGCATAAGTACATCTACCCATGTTTTCTTTGATACCGTTTCAAAAACTTCTTGAGATAAATGAAGAGGTTTGGTATGTTCTTGAGCAAATTCATTATCTTTTTGTTCATTGGATATAGTTGCCAATAGAGCCGTTTCACGCATCTGTATATAAACATTGTATAAATCGAACGGAAGAAGATATTCGGGACGAATAAAAGCTGTGCAAGAACCTTGCGTTCTATAAAAATGAAAACAAAATATTTTCTTTTTTATCCAAGAAAAACAAGATTATCATTTGCTAATATACTTTAAAAATAATAATAATAAACGATGTTGCCACAAGTATTGTTTTGTAGCTTCATCCATTTTCTTGGGTGGTACAGAATTTTGTGGTATACCAGGTAATGAATGACCACTTAAATGTGTTATCATATCATATATAGTTTTTTGTTCTTCTTTTGCATTTTGTTTTGTTCCGACTGTTTCAAAGAGTCGTTTAAATAATGCACTAGTGAGCAAAAATAAATAAACGAACAAATATAATAGATGTCACGTAAAAATAAAAATAATTTAAACTTTACTTTCGAAATGATTGAGGAACTTTAGCCACGTGTGTACCTTTAGGCCAACCTTGATTTGAATACCATCGTTCAAGGGTTGATACAAGCCATTGGAATGTTTTGGAGTCATTATCTAAGTATGGTATTGAAACAGCATTTAATTCTTGACTAAAAGTTGTTGCGTGATTAAATGTATTCGATGAGCCAGAACGAATACGAGCATATGGCGTCTGAAATATTGAATTAAAATAAATACATTTTAAATAAATTTGTTAAATCAGAAGAAATTTTTATTTCAAAAATTTGCTTTTGAATTGTAGTTGTTTGATGATAGACAAAAGAATATATTAATAGCTTACGACTATCTATTCATATAGTTTACCTTCATTTAACTAATGTTTCTTTTAACTTTAACGGTTATCTGATTCGTTTGCTTGTTATTTCTTATTGAAGAATTTTGTATTCAATCAATTGAACAAGAAGTTCTCCGGCACTTTACAAACGAAATGTTTTTTTGTTTAAGAACATTTTAAAAATAATTTCTAGTAGGCAAAGTAAATTTATTCTCAAGTAATCATGCCATAATGATGAAGTGGTGACAAAATTATATTGAAAAATGATGATAGTAATGGCGTGCTGCTGTCATTTGCATGCAAAAAAAGACATCGTCGGTATATTAATTAGGGTAGTATCAGGAGCGCCTGAAGAGTTTCATATTGAAAGTATCTCAAATGTGACTGTTGGAAACATAACAAAAATTGCATCTCACTGTAAAATTACTTGAAAGTTTGACAAAGAAATATATTCAACATTGAACTATTTTCAGTTTTAGTTTCAATCACTTAGTTCTACAGATGTATGATTTTTTATCAAGGTTTTCATTATTAACTATGTTGTTAATATTTTTGGTGTATAAATGAATCAAAAAACGGAGTACAGTATATAATACAATAGTATGAAAATAACACTAGGTTCGTCATATCAGAATTTTCAATTTTTATGTCACACCTTCGACAAAAAATATTTACATAAGTTGGTCAAGCAAAACTCTCTTGGGTATTAAAAATATTCTTTTACTACAAACTAGCTGCAAAGAATATGATTTACTAATTCTAAATTATGCTCATATCTTTTTACTTATATTATTCAACATAGATCTATGATAGGTTTCTGTAAATTTTGTTAATGGCATCATGATACTTCTAAAGTTTAAATCTAATCAAAGCTTCTAAAAATGCTACAACAAAACATATAAATGCAACATAGAGCAACTGTCAAATCAATGTAATTGTTTCATTATTTTATTCAATTTTTCGCATATTTCAAGAATAAAAAAGATCCAAAGTGATCTGCTTTTCGTCAAGCCGCACTCTAAAGTCTATAATATCCTATTGAAAAATCAACACTCCAGATGAATCGATTGATCTACGCAGTTGTTTTTCACAGAACAATCAAAACATGCAAATTTTTATTATTTTAGAGACATCAAATAATTTTATTCTACTGACTATTTCAAGTTTTTTCTCAGTTGATATTCTCTTATGTATACGCTAACCAAGAATGCACTGCTTTGACTGCATAGTTTTGAAAGATATCTTTTTCTGTAACAAAAAACTAGTGTATTTCTAAAAAAAGAAGATCAAGTCACTGAATTTATATTGTATCTTTAATTAATATATATAGTAAGAAGAAAAACAAAATCTTAATGTAGGTCTAGCTACAAGCAGAATATGTAGCACATTCAGGAAATATATGCTAAATAAAACCTAACATAACGAATTCGTCTAAATTTCATATTGAATCTACATGAATACACACAAATAACCCTCGGATACTAGCTATATATATATATATATAATAAGATTTGTACTAAGACTGTTACCCGGGACACTAGTAGGGTTTTACTCATACTATTTATAAAACATAAATAAAGTAAGTATTACACAGTCAGTATTGATTACAAGTATAAGAAATTCTTATAAAACCAAAAACTACCCTACCGATCTATTTTGTTAGAAAAAAATAGAAAATATTTCCTACAATTTATAAATGAGACTGAATAACTATATCTCTCTGGAGTAAAGTGTATATTTAAGACGGTGATCAAAACAATTTGAGTTACTCTGACTAATAGTACATTGAACAATAAAATTAACTAAACATTAAATTTTAAAAAAGTGTCTATTACCATATTTTTCTTCTGAATGTCCTGTATTAATAGAAGAAGTCATTTTTTGCCACTCTGATTTCAGAGAAAGCAACAATAAAAAATATTTCTTACATATAATATCATTTATTTTCTAGAATTACATATTATGAAGGAAATTTCAACTGCGAGTAGGTTCGCAATTGTATGAAAAACATAAGTGATTATATACTTCCAGTAAGATGAAAAACGAGACCTTGCGATTCGAGTATCAAAAGAGAAACTAAATAGGCGAAAGTATTCACTAGGTATTTTCTAAGTACTCGTATAATTTATAACATAGCGTGCTATTTGACGAAAGCCAGATGATTCTGGCTCATCTCTGTTTTGTTTTTGAATTATACAGAAAATAGAATAGAATAATCTATTGGTTCAATAATATTCACACATAACTTAATACATTGAATACGTTCTATGTTGCATCTAGATTCTTTGATTATTTTATAACATTAGCAGTAGGTTCAAGAATGTAAAATAGGATAAGCGACTCTCTTATTTCTTTTTTTTTCGAAAAATTTCAACTTGTTTGTATCATTCGGAAGCATTTTGTTTTTGATTAGAAGATTTCGTATTTAATTTTCTCTTGTAGTTGCATACTAATATTAATGGGAAACAATCTTCATGAATTATCTCATACGCTATATAATAAATACTCAAAAAGAGATCAATTTTCTTTTCAGACTTCTGTCAAAATTTCAACCAATGACAGATGGAATATGACAGTCGTTGTCGACTCATTAATTGTAAAATTTAGTTGTCAATAACGAATCGCACTAACTTGTCTGTATGATAATCGGAAGATTACTAAGTGTTATAAAACTAAGGTACAAATCTACTGTGGCACCACCCATGTAGTTGATAATTAGAAACAGTGAATATAATCATCGATAATGATTCTGATCATGTCATAAATTAGAGATGGCACTTTAACTTTACTTTAACCGTAAAGTTTAAAGTTGTTTAAAGTCGCCTGTAAACGCTTCTTTTTAATACTTTTTACTGTACCAACGTATTTAGTCATGCTTATGAGACTATCTGCAACAGATAAAACGCCAAAAATAAGCATTTAAGTCTAACTTTAAACAACTTTAAACTCCGCATTTTACGGCCAATTTAAAATTAAAGTGCCACCCCTAATCATAATTTAGCTTATTTCATGAATTTGGTATCGATATTGTCTGAAAAGTATCCTTATGTTCGATGTTTGTTGACTTTTTCAATGCTTTATTTTATTATAGTTTGAATAAAATAAAAGTTGTTAACTTCTTCTCATAGATTTTGATGCATTTATTTTTTCTACAAAAAAAGTAATACGTCGTAAATGTATCTCTAATATAATTTAAGAATATCTGGTTTTGTTTTAGATAACACATGAAAATTTTATAGTATAGTTCAAACTATCATGTAATCACAAGCATTATATGCATATGCATGATAATTTCTATTATGTTGAATTAGATTATAAAATTGACTACATAACCACTATTAACTTGAATGATACTATGTCATTTCATATTACTAATTGTTAACCACCCGTAATTGTTAAGCGTCTCGTTGCTACCGTTTATGAGAGTAAATATAGAACTTTGATTAAAAAGAACTAGTGAACTCTAAACCGTAACATGTGCACTGTCACTTATCGGCATAGTATCCAGCTTCTATCCCTTGGGTTCATAGAAAAACATTCGTATTGAACTTATCAATGAGCAAATTAGTTTGATTATATATTTTTAACGTGTGTTTTCCAAAGAAAAATGAGGATCGAATCTAGTGTTGAAAACCGATGTCGGAAAAAATGTCCAAAATAGTTTTACAGAGTATTAAAAAACTATTCCGAAGATAAATATCTTTTTTCTGTTACACTTATTAGATATTAAAATTTTATTTACCGGAGAACGTTCATTACGATTCTGTGCTGATATATTATCATCTGTTGATGTTCCATCAGATGTTTGATCAACTTGATCGAATGTTGCACTTGTACTTGTATTTGGTCTTGAATTTGAACTTGTTACTGTACGTTTTTGAACTAAAAGTGGCTCACCTATGAGTTAAAAGATTAGTTAACATTAGTTCAGTATGCGGGGAAAACGCAATTATTTATTCGTACCACTTGAATTACTCTCATCAGATCTAATTCTACTTCCTTTCATTATTTGACCTGGTTGTACAACAATTTGATAATCATTTTCGGATTTCCATAAGAATGAGTAACATGTAAATATTGAATTATCAGCAGTAACATAAACTTCATATTCGAAACTAAAATAGAAAAAGCAAAGAACTTAGTTTCATAAAAAAAAAGACGTAACAGAAAAGCAACTTACCAATTTCTTTCTTCATCAATTATTTTGACTATAATCTGTTCAGAATATGAATGATTACTACTAAAACATATTTTCATCAAAAAATCTTGTTGTTTATCGATGTTAATTATAGCTGGCTCAGGAAATGATGCATGAAATTCATATGAAACATCTATTGGCTTAACATGCGATAAAATAATTAATTTTGTATTTCTAATAAATAATCAAAGAACAAATAGTAAAATAATTAGTTTTCTTTTTATTCAAACATACTTTTCAAAACCTTTTGTTCGCATTCGAACTGTTCCAATACTATCAATATCAAGTGGCACAGGAGGAAGAATTAAACGTCTTGGTTCAAATATTAAATTCGGCATTATTAATTCTCCAGTTAATTCAATATATGTATAGGGTGTTTCTTGATTATGATTTGTATAAAATGGTATACGTGCTTTATATATTCCCGGTTTTTTTGGTGCAAAATTAATTTTAAACGAAAACATTTGTTTTGGTTCAATTTCACCTTCGGGTCCAATATTTGTTGATGGACTTATAAATGGTACCAATGATGAATGTAATACACGAAATATATCATCATCTAATGCTACATTATCACGTAAATCAAGTTGCCAATGTATTTGTTTTTTACTATTGTTGATTAAAATAATTTCTTTACAATCACAATAGGCACCTTGTTTCATAGCATTATATTGTGTTGAATACATTTGAAAATGTAATTCTTTTGTTGACAATTGTAAACAATCAGATAATGCTGTTGCGCGTATACGACGATTTATAGGTGGATGTGATGGTTGTAAAGCTTTTTGTTCGCTTGCACTCAATTCACGATGATGATGCGATGCTGATTCAGGTTTCGATGCTTGAGATAAACCTTCAACATTAAGTAATGGTGGACATGTACGAATTGGAAGAAGAAAGTCATAGAAAGCAATCTTAATGAAGAAGACGAAGAAGAATAATCAAAACCTAGAAAAATAAAAATAAAAAAACAAACTTCAGCTGGAATAAGAATAAGTTCAGCTTCAATAGTTTCATCTGGTTGAACAACTATACTATAAACTTGGCCATTTTTTACACAACATTGTTCATTACCTATGAATTAAATTAGAATACAAGAATTTGAAATACGAGACAGTCATTTGTATTTACCAATAACTGGATTTGTTTTTATACTGAAATCAGGATATTTGGAAAGATTTATCTCAACAATTCCTTTAACAGTGCCCTGAATAAAAAAAGAGAGACATTTTTACGATTGAGTAGTTATATCTATTTTTGATTTAGTTAGAAGTTTTACGTCAAAAATAGTTAAACTGCGTGAATTGAAGTAAATTAAGGTAATTAATTCTATTTATAATCAATACACATTTCGTACATAACAAATATGAGATAGAATTTTTTGCTAATACTAAACATAACTATGAGTATTTTAATTCTTATATATTTACTGTCAACTATCTGATGAAACACGACAAATAATGTTTATATTGATGGATAAAAATAAGGAAATCTATTTGAGCATTTACAGAATAGAAATTAAAATTATTTTCATGCATAATTATTTCTGTTTGCATGTGTATCAACGATTTATACAAACAGTCAAATCGAATTCTGGGAAGTAATTATATCGAAAATCACTTTTGTTTTTCATTTTTAAAACAGATTCATTCATATGACTTTTTGAAAATGTAACTCGAAGATCAGTCATTTTTACTTCAGTTCATAATACAGGCAAGGAATTTTATTTTATTTAAAATTTTATTTTTCATTGATTTAATGAAAACAAAACACGAAGATAATCACCATATACCACCACATGGAAGACAACTGCAAGTACTACATCCACGTGAGTTAAGTTGACTACTGTACATACATTGAACGAAACACATCATTGGAATACAAAATGGATTCGATGCTTGAAATATGTTTGGAAATGATAGAGCAAGACGTTGTTCTTTAGCAGATGCAGTCGGATTAGCCGAAACCAAAACAGTAGCACAGAGAAGAACACGAACAAGAATTGCATTTATTTGATTATGCATGATAAAAATTAATAATAGTCTCTTGTAGAATTTTCAAGAGCGACTAATTTATTGCTGATTTTTAAATGCGCATTTATTGTTGTTGATCAATATTCGATAACAACTCATCTGACAATTTTCTCAAGCAGATGCGCACATCTCCGCGTCTATTATTGATGCAATTATAATAGAGAGAGAGAGAAAGAGAGAGAAAAGAATATGAAATCACGAATTGAAGACATGGATAGTATTTTTAATGAATTTGGATAATTTTAATGAAATCGAATTATACTCGAAATGAAGAAAAGAAAAACTTCACAGTAATAGAATTATTTTCTAAGTATACTAATATTGTGATTCTCAAATTGATTGAATCAACACAATAAAATATGTTTATTTATGTAAAAGAGACACTGACAAACATCGACAATAATAGTGTGTGATATCAATGCAATAGCACAAATGTCTGCCTTTCGTTTTTGCAGAATAGCTCTGAGAAGATAATTTTCGTTGACTTTTCCGTAGAAAAGTCGAACAAAAATTTCTATTCAGAATACTTGTCTTTCAGGTTGTATCCTCTCTTTTATGAACAGATCATAAAGGTAAGTTATATTCGATTCTAAAGAAAATGAAAAATAAAATATTTCCAATTAACAAATTGTCTTTCAGCACTCGTCTCGACGAGAGTGTGGGTTGAAATGCTGTGCCGTTCTTTTTGCATCGTAATATATCAACAGATCTTATCATGCATGTAGTGCTGACTAATATAATACATTAGAAAATATCACGAGCAACTGATAAAAGCTTAACTATTTTACATATCAAATGTCTTGACCTCTTGAGGTCCTTCAGGAAAAATAGATATTTTTCCGACGCAAATATGCTGCGAATTTATATCTTAATCTGTCATTACCTAATCTAACTTTTCTATTATAAATCTTAATAGATAGCATTGTATAAACAACATATAAATACTCCCTACATTTTCCTAACGTTATTTCTATTATTTCTCATAATGCATCTATCAAATATATTTATGGTGGTATTCTTTATTGGTCTTCTTTTCTCATTTGCTGCATCGGATTTAACGCAAGCAGACATGGACAATAATAATGATGCCGATTTTAATCATGACAATCCTACTATTTTCAAAAGGAGTGTATACGATCGTCATCATCATCAACGTCATCGTCCAATGGAGACACATCGATGTATTCGATGCAAATTTAGTCTTGTACCTTGTTGCTTCCCAAATATTTGTGTTAAAAGACATTTTCGAACAGATCAGTGCGTTCACGCAAGAGGTTGAATATTCTCTCTTTATCCTTTTACCTTTTGAATAAAAATAAAAACATATTTGTGCTCATTAAATTAATCTAATTGAAATAGTGGAAGTCATATATTACAGTTCGGATATGAAACTATCCGAGAAAAACTCATCTGTTGGCTAACCTTATTCTAGAAAAAAAGAAAAGAAAACTTCTTGACTGTTTCAATTATTAAATTGATAAAATATGCAGAAGAAAAATATGATGTTTCATTCTTACATACCCTATTTTCGATACAAAATGGTTTCATTGCTTTCATTAATATTGGTACACCACCAAAGTTAAATTCAGTTTCAGGAATATTCAAAGTTGGCTCAACAACATCGCCTGTCATACGAATTTCTTGTTCACGTTGTCCAAGAACTTTTAGGCCAAATTTTATATCGAATTTAATTAATTCGATAGGTGTAACTTCAATTGTTATACTTGTTTGTGAACCAGCTGAAACAAGGCCATTGTCTGGACTTATAATAACACCAGAACATGGATTTGGATCCGTTATCTTGAAAGAAAGAAAGAAAGAAAGAAAAGAGAGTTTTGAAACAAAAACAATGAAGAATAATCAGATAAATAGAATCGTACTTGATAGAAAAGATGATTTGTTCCTTCATTAACAATGGTAAATGATTTTTTCGTTGTCATATTGATTGGTATTAAGCCAAAATTAACACGTTTTTCAGGAATTTTAAATTTTGCTTTACCAACTTGTGCAATACATTGTAGTGTTAATGCTGTTTCGCTATTTGGTACTACAGAATTATTATTTACCGCTACTTTGCGTGAATCATTCGTTGAGAAAATATGTAATGTAAAATAATTTTCTAATGGTGCTTGTGTACTGCCATACCAAACAACTTCACTATCAATGGTTTGATAAGGTTCAATAATTCCTAAAAGATATTATTTTTTCTAGAAGTTCCTTTAAAAAGATTAAATCTAGAAATAAACCTGTCGCTGGACGAATTGAAAATGCTGTTCCTCGTGGTCCAACAATAGGTATCCAACGAAATTCGGCTGGTGCATTTAATGGATTATATAAATGAACAACTTTTCGAAAGGAATCTTCAGCTAAAAGATGTGGTAATGAACGTATGAGAAGTTTTTCTGTTGACAATTGTACAGTTGGTACACGAACATCGGCTATGATTTTAACATAATGACGATAGAAATTATTAATTATATACGATAGTGACCGTTGATAAAGACCAATTTCTGTTGGCTCAAATGTTACTGGAAATTGTACATGAGATTTTCCAGGTATTACTTGACTTAATGGTGATGTCATTTTTAAAGCAGATGAATCAACCTATATGAAATATCATATGTAAAGAAAGCAAAATTTTTTTTCAAAATAAAACAAACATCAATTTGAACGAGAATAAATTGATCGAGATTATTAAGAACTGATAAAAATTTTGTTACTGGTGCATTTACGCAGACTTCACCAAAATTTAATTCCGGTGGTCCTAAATGGAGGATTTTTTTCCGTATTATTCAAATGAGAATATTAAAATTTAACAAACCAACAACAATTTTAAATAATTGACTCGGTGGTAACAGTATAGCAGAATCATTTTTTTCTTTTTGCGTTGCTGGTACTGAATTAAGACCTTCTTTTATTGGTTTACTTAGTAATGTTTGTTCTTGTTCAGCCAATTCAGATGTTGTTGGTAAACGATATTTCCAATTAGGATAAGATGGAACTTGAATATAGCAAGAGAAAAAATAATAAGACAAGCGTCATAGATTATGTTTAGTTTTAGACGGATTTCAAATATGAGAGGAAAAGAAAAGATGTCAAAATTTTGCAGCCTTCGCAACCTGTTTCTTCTTTTTTCCTTCTGTATATTATTTTCTTTCTTTTTACTTCTATTATTGTCTAGAAAACTTTTTTCTCGGATTATATATGCCGTGCTTCAAATTGTTTTACCCTCTGATGATTTTACTTAAAAACTGATGAGAAATATGTATGTCACTATAGTTTCAGAAATATTAATTAAACTAATGAATATTTTTGTAAATTTTAAAAATAAATATTCAATTGGACACAAACTGACTAGATCTTTTTTTACAAGTATTTTTTTTTTGCATGAAGATAATTATATAAAATGTTCACTTACTTATAGCTTTATTAACATTTTTTTCTACATCCGCTAAAGTAATATGTGGTGATTCTAGTCCATTGGCTGGCTTAATTCCAAGGTCAATATCATCATCATATTTTTTATGTTCTCTAAATACGTTAAAAAACAAAATAAAAAGATTTGTGTTTTTAAATTTTTTTCAAATTTTTACTTTGTTCTTTTAACTTCTGATCGTTGAAATCTTTGCTCATCAAATAATTGATTATACATATTATTATGCATTTCAATTCGTTTTCTTTCTTCATCTGTATATGCATAATCTGGATCAACATAATTATATCGTTGCTCTTTAGTGAATGGTGTTCTAGATTAAGAAAATTATACAATCAATTCTGTTCAATATCTGTTTTCAGAGTTTGAAAACATACATAAAGCTATCATCCCGATTAAATGGAGCAATGCTTCTTGCACGATCGTTTGGAAACGATACTTTATGCTTTTTAAAATTATTAAAATATGAATTTGATGCTCGCTGATTATGTGAAGTGTCATTAGCACTATTTAAAACAGCCGCACGAGGATGAAAACGTTTTAATGAATCATGTGTTGTAATTACATTAGCACCGACTTCATTAGAAATCATTGGCTTAAGACCTATAGAAAAAATAAACATATAGATACGTTTTTATTTTTTGTTCTAAAAATATCTAATGAACTTATAATTTACCCATATTAAATTTTTCTACTGGTATTTCAGTTATAGCCGATGAATAACCTGCTAGTAGACATTGAGCTTGATGAATAGGTTTTGATTGTGTATAAACCGGTGTATTAGGATTCACTACTGCACCGAGTACTTCACATACAAGTGTTTTATTAATATTACCTAGAAAAGAAAGAGTTAGAATTAAAAAACAACAGAACGAAAAAATCTGTTGGAACAAACCAATTTGATGTGGAATGAATGTAACAAGAACTTGTAATTTTTCTCTTGGTTTTAATTTTCCACTTGCTGGTTGTATAGCAAAATTTGCAATTGATGGAAAACGAAAATCAATTGATTTATGATCAGATTGATTGTAAATATGAATATATTTCTCTTCTTTTTGTCCAATGTATGTTGTTGGATAATGTAATGCCTGCGGTTCGAGTGATAATATAACTGGTAATGCTGTTCCAGCTACAGCTATTTCAAGTTTTGTTTTGCTATGCTCAATATTAGATAGGCCAGGACTTGCACCTAATAATTCGAAATACATAAAAGCAGCAATATCACGTTTTGGTGGTAAATCAAGTGTAGCAGAAAATGCTTGTTTTGGTGGATAAGCTCTAGTGAACAGAAAAAAGAAATTCAATAAAATTAAAAGATAACTCCTGTGATTATGGAGTATCGAGATAAAAGGAACGACCTCTTTTTGTTTTTATACATATTGTAACTTATACAGTCTTCTCTCTCGTTCTCTTCTACATTCAATAACATCGTAGTATTCTAAATATTGTTCATAAAGAAAAGAAAAATTTACAGCTGATTTTAAATTTAATCAAAAATCTTTTTACAAAAGTTTATTATATTCTAAATTACAGTAATTCTTGTTATAGAAATGTGTGATTACAGTTGAAATTCTTCGCGTACAAAAGACTGATTGGTCAATATTTTTTCGATCTATTATTTGATATAAAATCAAAAAGATTCTTTATTTAGAGATGTAAAGAATTTTGCTAGGTTTCATCAAACTCTACAAATAGTCAACTTTATTGTTTTAGTTAAAATCTAGCACGATGTGGTACGTTTCGTTGGCAGAATTAATCGATTCCTGTTTCTTTTCTATGGGCACATGCGTATCTTCGTTTTGCCGTCTTGTAAACATTTCGTAATCAAACGATTACACAATAGAAAGTAACAAAAAAAATTCTATACCTTGGGCTAAAACGAAAGAATAATGCACGTTTTTCAAATGGATTGAGTATGCCTTGATTTGGAAATACAGTAATAATAGAATTTAATGGATTTAACGTATATTCAACATCAGATGCTCCTTTCTTATCTGAATCCTACAAGAAATATCAGTTAGGTTTGCTTTTATTTTTCTTTGGAAAAACTTACTGATGGTTTTGAATCATCGATTAATGCTGAATAAGCAACGGACTCAGGTGAATCATTATATAGAATAGCTAATGCTGTAAGATCACAACCATAGTAGCATGAACCAAAATTAAGTTTTTGTAATTCTTCATCACTTTTCGGGTGAAGTAAACATAAACGACGATTCATTATTTTTCCAATTAATTTTATCGTATGCGTTCGATGACATGCATCTAATCTAATAAAATTTTGAGAAAATAAATAAGCAAAATTACATTTCCTCTTTCTACAAAAAAGAACCATTCAACATACATAGCAATGTCATTGATATCTGTTACCGATGATGTTAATAAAGATACCTTTAAACAAAAGTAAAGAATAAATCAATATGTTTATTTATTTCATTTATATATTACCTCGACCGGAATAGACGAATTAGGTGGAACCATTGCTGAAAGTGGTGTAATTCCTATTGGATGTTCACCTTTATACTCAATTCTATATGGTGCAGGCGTACTACCAGTATTTCTAACAAGAATTTTTTTATAAACTGTTTTATTGTCAGCGACATGAACGCCAAAGTTAACCAATTCTAAATAAATAAGATGGATTTTATGTACGTTCTGATCTTAATGTATCATTTTTAACAACAAGCAGTAGAAATTTAGCTTAGTGAATGTTCAATAATATTTATGGATTAAAAAATTTAAAAAGCAAAAATATCCATACCATCCACAAATATTTCTGGTCGTGCAGGAAAAGCTAATAAAGGAATTTGTATTTCTAGTCCATCAATGTCAACAACGATAGTATCACGCTGTTCTTGATTGGATCTTGCGATATATTCAACAACACCTGTCACTTCAAGACCAGGCGGAACTGGCTGGTCGGGATTATTAACAACTAATTGAAAATCCTAGAAAAAATATTGCGCACAGGAAAAAAATGATTATAATAGATTCCTGAAATAACGAAGCTAACCTTGATAGCAGGTCGAAATATTTGTATACGTTTACTTTTATTTCCCACATTTTTAACATGTATTATCTGTCGATAAGCATTATTTTGTAACACATGTGAAAATTGAATTTCATTCGGTTCAATAACAATACCATGTTCTTTATAACGCATTTTTTCAAAGTTTTTGTTTATTGAATCAAAAGAGATACAGTGTTTTTTTTTTGGTTAAATTTCGTTGATAGGAACATCAACCATATTGAAAATTTGTTGTTAAGCAACGTTCTCTATCCATGCATGCAAATTATTGGTTAACGCATTTATGCAGTTGCATATCTTCATTTGAGAAAACATCGTTACGTTACATTCTGTCCACGCATGTTTACTTTGATCATGTGTCTTACTCTTCAATTACATACACTTAGATAAAAGTTCATGGTTACTACGCGTCATGAGTTATTATTGAGCAGCACAGTTTCTCTTGCTAAGTGATTTATATCGATAGGTCAGATAATCACGTGCATCAGCACAATATGTATACGTTCCAATCACATGGTTTTGTTTGTTTCTGATGAGTCAGAAAGAACATCTATGTATCTGACGTTTCTATTGGAGGCATCAGAGATTTGTTATGTTTTATTTGAGAAAGTGACAGACGCAATTAATCGAAAGAAAAAAACTGTTGTGCTTTTAGATTTTCTACATTTAATAAAACTGAAATAAAAATATATTTCAATCATGAACAGATCATTTCAAAATTATTCATCAGGTAAAATAAGTTTTGAAACACGCTTTTTAGTTTATTGACTAAATATTTACTTTTGCCATTGCTTTTGTAGATGCATGGATTGATATTCAATCGGAAGAAAAACAAATCCTGTCACCATCAACAATGATGAGCTCATTTGCTGATCGAGATCTTTTATCAAGTATGTCAATTAACGAGCATTTGTTATTAGAAGCACAAAAAGAATCATCACGTGTTAGCTCAAAAAGTTCACATAGTGATACGTAAGAGAATTTTAACGATATAATTATTTTTCTGAAAGAATGCAGTAACACATCGAATTTCAGTTCATCACCAAAAAGTCCTAAAAGTCCTGTGCAAACAGATCGCAATATTGCTGATTGGATGCTATATTGGTCATCGCGCAATGAAGTTGATCCGCCCAAGTAAAAACAAATACAAGCATCATTTCGTTTCTTTTAATGCATCTTTTGCCATTCAAAGGGAATGGAAATTTGCTCATCCAATAAATCGAAGTGTACGTGATCAACTACTTTTCGAAGACGAAGAAGAAAAAGCAGCTCAAGAAGCTGAAAAGGCATTAGTTGAAAAAAAACGTATGCGCTATGTCATTTTAAGTAACTGTGCCAGTTTCATCCTCGGCATGGGAATGTAAGTATAATTTTAAATCATTTTTTTAAAGCTAAATAACAAAAATTTATCTTTCTTTAAGAATGTATTTATGTTTACGTCGTTATCTTCGTATGAAGACGCCTTACTTTTATGCATTAGATTGAGCAATACACTAGCGTTTTATTTTGTACATGCAACATTTATTGAATTGACATATTTATTCAACAAAAAAAAAGACATTTTTTTCCTTTTACATTTGCCAACTACAGTTTGCTTTTTTTTTATTTGCAAATAATTACAACATTTCTGTACATAACTGTATATTGAATCAGAACTCTCCAAGCATATTCAAGTTCACTTGAACATTCCTCTTAATTCTCCGTTTTTTCTTGATTACTACAACAGCTATTTGTTTTTTGTTACCTATTTATTGTTTTCATCAGCGAGTTCATATGTGTGATGCGCGTGAAGGTGCCTTTGTATTGTGGAAACTTAATGATATTGTATTAGGAATCTATCTCAATAGATATAGTAGATTGGTTTGGACAAAGTTTCATTCATATGTATGTTCTATATTATATGTATATAATGATTTCTTTTTCTTTTTCTTTTTCTTCTTCATTTCTTTTGAGAATGCATGAAAATACTACTAACATGCACATAAACGTTTATTCTTTTTGTTTTGCTTTTACTACTCATCATTGATATCACAAATAAACATATATTCATGGCTAAAAATGAAAGTTTTTATTTGCTTTTATTTCATATTTTACTAATATTTATGATTATAGTCACAGAAGGATTGAAAAACTTGTTGTTATCAAGTGAGATTATTTGACATGTCACAAGAGATAGAATATTTTATTTATTAATTTTTCTTTCCTCCAACACAACGTATTGTTCAGGGCTAGCATTCGATGATCAACAGATGTTCATTTAAGTAGCATGATTTATTGTCATAGAATACTATCAAACAATGATTGTATTATAAACTATGAATTGTTTCATTGAAGTTTGTTTACTACCTAGTATTTCGTCTGCAGTCAGCTACACATTGAGATCACATAGAAATGTCAACATGTCTATTGTGACGGTTTACGATGGGCTATACTGTTATTTTCAGGATATATATATATATATAACAAATGCCAAAAATAGACCAGTAGCATTCTGTGGATTTTTACTCTATATACTTATCTATTTGTTTATTTGAAAGAGCATGTCGAAATGCAGAGGTTTGACAGAGCCTTGATTTTAAAGTGTTCTTTTTACCAAGAGAAAGCAGATGACAAGTTCAATGTGTTGTAAAACCCGTACGAACATAGCGATCTAATAATCAAAGCACTTTTATATAATAGTGACAAAGCTTACTTCAGCAAAAAAATATACTCGCCTATACAAGCAAAAAAAGCAATTGCATGCAACGAAACTTTTTCTAAGAGTTTGACATGAGTATTCAGAAAAATATCTCTTGCCTTTTCTCGAAATTGCCACCTTCTTGTAAAGTAATAATTGACAGAATCCATCAAAGGTTTCCTAAAACAAAACCAAGTGATCGAATAAAAAGAAGCTCATGTTATGTACGGCAGAATATGGCAATACACTATACTTTTATGAGTTCATATTGATTTCAACAGTTCACAAGAAAAATGAATTTCCAGCCCACAAGCTTGCATAATTAGATCTACAGAGCTTTAAGAAAAACATTAATTATTTCAATCATATTACAAAAGAACTGTGAGACCTTTCGTTGCTGTTCACCATTGCATGAACATGTTACACTATCTTTACACTTTCTTATATGATAGCTAGAACTTATAAAAGTAAAATAGAAAAATGCGGAAATATCGGATTTGCGTCCGATTATTATGTGTACTTCAAAAAGCGAAAATGTACGTCCATTTTTCCTATAAGGCATAGATCTCATCAAGATACATCCCTTCTCACTAAATTGCAAGGAGAAAATACAGACGTGCTAAGTTAGCATGGGCCACACTGTATGCAATTCTATCCAGTGATCACTGACTCTACTCTTAGCGTGATATAATATCTTTAGAGATCACAGAAATTGAGCTCAGATTCGTGCTCAGCTCCGAAAATTGGATAAGAACAGTTATTTTTGAATGGTTTTGTGTTTGTATCTAACAGGATTACGATCGTAAGCAACCTCATGAATTTATAAGAGATATATGATAGATACAGGTATCAGTATTTTCATAATAAATCATCAATAGTAATAGCAATCGAGTTCGGTTTTTTACCTTTCGATAGTCCTTTTGACTAACTACAAAACCAGACATTTGAGAAACCCCCAAACGGCTGGTCATCTGAGACATATCTAGGTAATTTGGTTTCTAGATGCAGTTTTTGTGTATTTTGAGACCTTTCTCAGTCAATGTTTCGTTAGAAAGCTACGATTTAGTTCAAAACCAATATCAAATTCGGAATCAGCGTTAAAAACTTAGTCGATTTATATATGTTGTGAATGATTCTGAGAAAATGGTTTTTTGAAAAATCCCTGTACTCCCCCTCAGGGAAGGTTTGATCAAAAATGACAATTTTTTCGAGCACTCAGTCATTTCTTGACGGATCCTTCTCATCTTCGAACTCGACCTAGATATTGATAAGACAATTCTGTGCACAAAATTTCAGCTCAATCGAATGTAATTGTGAAGAGTTATCGAATAAACGGACGGC